TCTCCTGTAACATCGTCCCTGCTGAGGCAACACGCCTGCAGCCATGATTTAGTCTTCCCTCCTCTTTGGTCATGTTCACAGGGAGAGAACAGAAAACTTGGCCAAAAAGAAACTGACAAGAAGTAAAAGTTGTTAAAGTTACTGACTGCTGCTGCACGTTTTTGGGTCATTTTAGAATCAGCAGCTTGTTTTTTTAGTTACTGTTTTTTGGACAATGCACATTTGTTTCTTCTATATTTAACTTTCTTTGCAGGTTTTCTTAATGTGCAAATGAACCTGAAGGCCTTTTCATTTGTTATTTAACTGCAAGCTGTATTTCATAACGTTTTTTAAACAAATTATTCTTTAAAGAGTGGTGGGTGTGTAAATGACACCTATGAATGCTATTTAACAGACAAAAGTAAACAAAACAGACTTCCTGTTTTCTTACTTTCTTTGTTTTCAGCCGTCCCCAGGAGCTCTGTGAACGCTAACGTCTGTCTGTCCACCACTTTGGATCAGAAATATCTCAGCAACTATTGGAGGGGTTAAGTTTTAGACAGAAACGGACGCCGTGTCGACTGCAGGAATAAACGCACACTCAAAGATTAAATGGAACAAAGATTATATTTCATCTCCTCCTCATCATCTCACCTGCAGATAGCTGCAGTAAAATGTGTGTCCGCTGGTCTGAGGTCTGAGCAACGTGACCACTCTAATACCCCTTTATGTGGGAACTGGTGCATGCAGGTTTTCACACATCTGCTTTTGATTAGGTTTTTCTGAGCTGACTTAATTCTGTCCTTGAGATTGGGGACCTCGCTGCACCGAGTCCCCCTGGTTGAGCCCGCTCCTCCTGTCACTTTACTGTCACACGGTTCATTACAGAGTCCCTGTTGCACCTCTGCAGGACCTTGTGGTGTCTGCAGGTCTCTGGATGTCACCTTCTCCGTGTGGACTGGGTGGAAAATCCCTGCTGAAGGTTGCACAGAAGTCATGTGTGGGGGCAGGTGGGGGGGTACACTTATCCAGCATTCCTGCCTGTTGTGGCTGTTAGCTGTTATCTCCCCTACGTGTCTGCGAGGACGAGGAGCTGCTGGATGGCCCCGGGCCCCGCAGAGCCTTGTATGGCCATGGCCCGCTGGGAGAGGGACGATAAGCAGCCCGCAGCAGCTATGCGGCCATGTTTAGAACAATGTCTGTTTCTGTTAAATTTAGAGCGGTTATCGGACGCGGCTCTCCCTCCTGAAACCACTCTCTTCTCCTGCTGCTGCTGCGACAGGACCTGAGGTGAGTACGGGCTCACAGAAGGGACAAAAAGGAGCAGATTTCACCGAGTTAAGTCATCTGTCCAGCTGTGGAGAGGAGCTATCTGTGATGAAGTGATGTAATGTAGTGAGCTGGTGTAGTCCTGTGGTAGTATTGCAGTAATACTGCAGTAATACTGTAGTGTTGCAGCAGCTGTAATGAAGTCAGTGATGTGATATGGCTGACTGATGCTGATGCTGTAGGGATGTTGCAACAGTGCGGTTGAGTGCAGATCTAATGTCACGCAGTGATGTGGTCATAGAGTTTATGTACTGATGTAGAGGTAATAATGTGACAGGAGTCTGGCATTTATGCAGGTGCGTTGCAGTAGTAGTTAAGTTGTAGTAAAGTCATAAGAATTTTGTGATGCAGTTTATGTCATGTGGTAATAAAGATAATGTTTGTGAATTCCTGTAGAAAATCTAATAACGTTGCAGGGAAGTTATCTTGATGCACAAAAGTTATGATACTCCTGATGTTTTGCAGTGATGGAGGAATGCTGCAGGACAAAAGTAGGAGTATTAGTAATTAGTAATAATGTTTATAGTCATTATATTGCTGTTTATTGGAGTTCATACGTTGTCAGTTCGTCTGTACTATCACAGTTTGACTGTGATCGCAGTCTTCATAAGATCAAACATGAAGACGTATTTTACATTTTTAAAGTGTATTAAAATCATTTTAATGTATAAATGAAACCTTGGACGGTCTGCAGCAGGTTCACCTTAAACTCAGAGCCGCCTCCAGTGGCGTCCACAGCAGCTGTTTTAGAGGCGACTGTGTTCTGAAGCTCAGACTGCAGCTGAGCGCTGACCGTCTTCTGATGCTGATGATGTTGTTGACAGATCATAGTTTCTTTTAGCACAAGGACGCGTTCGGAGGCACTGAAGGTTTTTGTTGTGTTGTTATGATTTAGTCTCTCCTGCATCAGACAGGATGAGTTCAGTTTAACGTCATCTGACTGGTCTCATGTGGAGCTTCTTGTCCGGAGAAACCTACAGAGTTTCAAGGTGGCTTCATGAGGCTGGCCGATTCTTACAGGACAGTTCTGGTTTAGTGGAGATTTAGACGAGGTCTTGATCATCACATCGGCTCAGCTCAGCCAGCAGCTTAATAAGTCCGACCTGGCTCTTTGGAGAAAACTGTACAAATAATATTTTATACTGCAGAAATAGATAAAATAATAAATAAATTAATCTGGAATATTCTTTGCAAGAAATAAGAATAAGTATTGGTCCCACATACTGTAAAGAAATCAGTTTTAAGTAGAACTATGTAATCTGTTTCATGTTGGATGTTGATATGTTAAAACTGATGAGATGAGGATAACAACATGCTACTGAGTTTCTGCATACATGTGTTATAAATACCACCATGAGTGTTTTTACTCTACTTGTTCCTGAAATGTGTTTTATTGTTAATTTTCAACTATTAAGCTTAAAGAGGATAACATGACAAAAAACTAATAAATTATTAAAAACTAATAATATTCCATATTGTCCAGTGTGACGTGTCCACATACAGGGACAGTTAAATCATTTAAAAATAGAGCAGAATTTGTGGGGGGGAATGGAAATGGATTTGTATTTGGGCCCAATTTTGACTAATAAAACAATCTTTAAAAAAAATCTAGATAGTGTTTAATAATTCATGCATGAGAGGGTTAAGTTTGCAGATGGCACACGCACACTTGTACACACTCGGCCTCTACTCCACCATGTTGGTATAAGGTAATCCCCATTATTCGTCTTCAGTGTAGCAGATCGGTTGCACACTTGGTAGTATGAAGCTCCTAAAGTAAAGTCTGAAGTGGCACTGAGAAGGCTGACTGTCACTAAGGCTGAAAGGGAAGAAGGAAAGCATGAATTGGCTTTTGACACTTAATTGTCTCTGACGGTGATGTTTCAGTCTGGACTGCAGTGGTAAGGCAATTACAACTTTATTCATACCTTTCAAACACTAAACGCAGCTCGGTATAGAGCACCTGAGAGTGCAGAGACAATCGTCTCAAGCATCGGGGCAGGTTTAAGTCAATTATGTGTTAACACGACAGTCTGAACCAGGATCAGCCCTGAACCACATCTGCTGCCAAGTTAATCAACATGCACAGCACACATAATTTGACCGCTCATACAGACCTCCGTGATTCAGAAGGATGCAAACCTGCCGTCTATAAAGTCTGTTCATCACTCCTACACACAGAAACAAAAGATTTCCTTAGAAAGCAGACCCGAGTTCAAATGTTTCATGTAAATTAAGGTCACGTTTAACTGCAGAACAAACTTAATTTTATTTAACAGTGTATGTGTTCTGTAATTAAAAACATTTCCTCACTCCTTCTCCTCAGCCAAGCTACTATTAGCAAACGATAAGGGCGGAGTCTGCTTTAAACCAAAAGGTGGAAACAGCGCGCTGAGGAAGCTGAAAGATGGGAAACCATGTGGAGAACACGATGAAAGACCTTTCATTAATGTGAGAAGGGTCACAGCCTCCTCATCCACCTGATGCTTTCAGCGCTTTATTTTCAGCCACTGCTTCATGTCCAGCAGCGTTTATTCATCAAGGCTGTTTATCCACAAACATCTTTTCCACTCAAGTTTTTTAATGCCAATGTTACCTTCTTTAATGCTAAGTGTAGCGAGCGCAAAATCTGGAGAATGGGAAACGACTTCACCCAAGGAAATCCTTTAACCTGTAAATATTATTTGGATAATAAACAAAGGCACTCATGCTCATTTCTGAGGCAAGACAGAGATGCTTTTTACAGTGAACCAAATGTTTTATTGAAATAATCAAGGACTGGAGCTGCTGGGAAAGAAAGTGTGAAAGAGTGTGAATAAAAATAGCGCTTTATTACAATTATTCTAAAAAGGCTTGATACAACATTTAAAACCACAGGTTAGCCACTGGTTAGTGGTAGTAACCACGTTACTACCTAAATTGTCGGGCAACATTAACTTAACTAAGCAAAGTGAGCAACGGCCACATGTGCGGAGAGGTTCTACCTCTAACTGACTTCTAGTGCAACACACTTTTACTCAAGTGGATAATGTCACCTGTTTTGGTGCACATGAAGTGACAGCAGTTGGACTTTGGTTGGCTCAGCCTGTAAGTAAATTTATTTTACTTTGATCTTTGGTGTGATTTTGAATCTGGCCCTCAGTCATAATTTTTCTACAGTAAAGATTTTTAACTTGTCCATCGAGATCTGATGCGTGACTTAAGTTCCCTTCATTTTTTGAGCAGTGTATTATTTGCTACTAGATGGCATTTAATTTTCATTTTATGTGTGTGTGTTTCATGTTTGCTTGCAACAGCTGACAGGCTGAGACAGGCGGGTGGCACATGTAGGGCTCTGTGGTCAAGTTAGCAAGAACTAACGTCTGGTTAGACTTAAAATAAAATGAGTGGTTAACCTTGTGAAACGCACGTTGTTAACTCTGAAATGTTGTGAATTGTTGCGCCAAAAGTACTTAGGAAAAGGTCACTTACGTCACTTAACTTATGTAAGTAAAGCTAAAGCTGCGCAAGATGACTTCTTATGCAGTTTGGAGTTGAGGATAATGAACTCCAAATAGGATTCAAATGATAGCTGAGAGTGGTGAGAGAGAGCCATGAAGAAGAAGGAGGAGGAGGAGGAGGAGGAGGAGATGAAAGCAGAGTTGGATCACCACAGTTATACAGTTGAACAGACGGCAGTGTGGTGGTTTAGTGGTGACAGTGTTATTATCAGACTGTTTCTGTTTCTCGTCTCCACATCATCCGACAGGCTTTTATTGTTTTACTGGAGGAGCAGTGGCAGTTTGTTCAGTGTTTCTGCCTCCACCATGAAAACTCTTCAGTGGAGATTCTGATAAAAAACGTCCTTCAGGGATTTTTTCTTCTGTCAGACACTGAAACAGTTTGAGTAGGTAGGTTTCTGATTTACTACTGAGGCTTCATTTCACCACACTGAGGACACATCTGGTGAAATACTGCAGGACAGTAAAAGCAACACAGTGCTTTAAATAGTCTGATGTGTGTTACTGTAAGGTATAATAGGGCATTATATAACAATACAGTACATGATATATTATATGGTATATTGATGTTATATATTTAAGGACAAAATTATTTTTATTGTATCCTTAAAATGTGAGTTTAAGAAACAGTTGTTTTAAATTATCATTTAAGGAAAAATATGATTTTTGACAAATGTCAACAAAAGACACATTCACAGCAAAGGATCACAGAAAATAAAACGTATCATATAAAACATTTTAATTAAAATTAATGTTAATTATGAAAGGAAAAATCCATAGATTTTGTTTGTAAGGTAAGAAATTAAATATAATTGGTGGCTTCAGCTACTGATTATTTGCATTATTAATTAACCTTATTGATTATATTTCAATTATTCAATTAATCAGATCAGTTCACACTCAGAGTGCCACATTATTTTTTTTAAAACTGTGTGGTCTCTGAACACTGGATTCAGTTTCTAATTATATTAAGTTTGTTGTTAAAATGAGTTAAAACCACTATTAACATTTTGTTTTTGAGCATTCACAACAGTACCATTTACAGATAAGCTGCTTGCACACTGCTCAGTGCCCAGCTAACAGCAACATCCTAAAGTTTGCAGTAGTTGGTTTCAGTCTTTAAAAAGTTCAGAAAACCAGGCGTCAGTTCAACACTGCCCAGACAGACATTTGTTGTCTATTTTTTCTTATTTAAGTCACAAGGTCAAGGCTTCAATCACTTTTTGGCAAGTGGACAGCTACTTGTTACTGGTTGTATTGGCCCTTTAAAAGGTATTTCAACAGGTTGAAAGGACTGGGTGAGCCATAACCAACTCAAATATAAAGTTCATGGCTAAAATCAGTTCATTTTGAGAACCTTTAGGAAGTGGAATCAGTTTTGTGTGTGCAAAAAAAGTGCTAAACTGCATTGGCTATATGGGCTGTATTGGCTTGAATGTTTTGCAACTGGTAATAAGGACTGATTGAGCAATACCCTGTCTTTTTGGCAAGTACTACAAACTTTGAATACAGTCTTTTTTCCAAATATAAACAAGGTTTATTGCTTATAATAACGTTTTGTCAGGCCTAATAAACTGCAAACACTTCAACTGTGATTATTCCGGTGTAAAACATTAACGGCTGTAGACGTATGGGCAAGATACTAGGCGTTACAGCTTTAACATGCTGCGCGAACTCCCGCAGAGGGCAATCACTTTCTCGATTCCTTCAGCACATGTTCTGATTCGGATTGTGCACGAAGTGGAGGGGCTGTTCACAAACGGGTCCGTTTGCAATTAGAGAGTGAGGAGCGCGTAATGGACACCTTGCTAACCTACATTGACATCAAAGAAAGTCGTGCGCGCTGACGTTCTGCATGCAAATATAGGCATAGTTGTCAAGGAAACCCTCTCAGAATGTTGTGATTTGCTGGACAAGGGCCACATTGGTCCAACTTTCTACAACTCTAACCAATCCGGGTAAACAGGTCAAACTCTTGGCGCACATTGATCAAACAGTTGGTGTTAGTTTGAGTCGGTCGCCGTTTGTCGGGGCAGTATGCAAGCAGCTTTGGATCCTAAAGAAGGAAAGAATTTACAGAATTTGCTTTGTGATTAAGAGAAGTGGAGTGAAGTTTGCTGGTTTATGTTGCCCATTCAAGCCCATTCAATTCCAAATATAACAAAATTTAACAAAATTAGAAATTCAACACTTTTGTATTTGCCCCCATTCATCATGAGCTGAACTCAAAGATGTAAGACTTTCTCTATGTACACAAAAAGCCTATTTCCCTCAAATATTGTTCAACTCAACCCAGAAACCTAAAAAGTACTAAAGTCCTTCTGTGTCTTACAGGTTTAAGGGTCAAGTGTCACCATGAGCCCAGCCAGGACCTCGTCACCCTGGTTTCAGCTGCTTTTCTTTACGTTCATCATCTCAATTGAACTTCCATATTTTGCAGCAGGAGGTTCTGCTCTGACCCTCAAGTCCAACAGCACACTCAGCAACCACACCAAATGTGGAGGAACTACCGACTGCATTGAAGGCGTTATCCTGCCAGTATGGAAGCCAGTAAACCCAGCCTTTACTGACCGCCTCGCCAGAGCCGCCATTTACTTTGTGGGGTTGGCATACATGTTCTTGGGTGTCTCTATTATCGCTGACCGTTTCATGGCCTCCATCGAGGTCATCACTTCCCAGGAGAGACAGATCACCATCAAGAAACCGAATGGTGAGAAGATCACCACGACGGTGCGCATCTGGAACGAGACTGTGTCCAACCTGACCCTGATGGCGCTGGGTTCCTCCGCCCCAGAGATCCTGCTGTCAGTCGTGGAGGTCTGCGGTCACAACTTTAACGCCGGTGAGCTGGGTCCCAACACCATTGTAGGAAGTGCCGCCTTCAACATGTTTGTCATCATTGGCCTCTGTGTGTCAGTCATTCCTGATGGAGAAACAAGAAAGGTGAAGCACCTCAGGGTGTTCTTCGTCACCGCCACCTGGAGTGTCTTTGCATACACCTGGCTTTACCTGATTCTGGCCGTCTTCTCTCCAGGTGTTGTTGAGATATGGGAGGGGCTTCTCACACTCTTCTTCTTCCCCATTTGTGTTGGATTCGCTTATGTGGCCGACCGCAGACTTCTATTCTACAAGTACATGTACAAACGATATAGAGCAGGGAAGCGGAAAGGAATGATCATTGAAACAGAGGGAGAACCAGAACCTCCCTCTAAGGTTGACATTGAAATGGACGGGAGAATTCTCAACTCCCATGGAGAGGAGACAGGGTTTGATATGAAGGAGCTGGATGACGAAGAGGCCCGAAGAGAGGTGGCCAGGATCCTGAAGGAGCTGAAACAGAAACATCCTGACAAGGAGATGGAGCAGTTGATGGAGTTGGCCAATTACCAAGTTTTAACCCAGCAACAGAAGAGTCGGGCTTTCTACCGCTGTCAGGCGACCAGGATAATGACAGGAGCAGGCAACGTCCTGAAGAAGCATGCTGCTGACCAAGCCAAGAGAGCCACCCAGCACGATATCTGCTCCGAGGTTTCAGTGAACAATTTTTCCTCCAAGGTGTTCTTCGACCCTGGTGCCTACCAGTGTCTGGAGAACTGTGGCAGTGTAGCTCTGAACGTGGTGCGCCGAGGTGGAGACCTAACAAACATGGTCTCAGTGGACTACCGGACTGAAGACGGCACAGCAAACGCCGGCTCAGACTACCAGTTCACTGAAGGAACTATTGTGTTCCAACCAGGCGAGACTGAAAAGGAAATCCGCATTGACATTATTGATGATGATATCTTTGAGGAAGACGAGCACTTCCTGGTTCACCTTACCAATGTGAAGGTCATATCAGAGGGCGCTTGCTCAGACACGTGCGAGGCAAACCACATGGACGCCCTTGCGGGTTTAGGTCTGCCGTGCACAGCCACAGTCACCATCTTTGATGACGACCACGCAGGGATCTTTACATTTGAGGAGCCAGTGGTAACCGTGAGTGAAAGCATTGGGGTGATGGAGGTGAAGGTGATCCGGTCCTCGGGAGCTCGCGGTGTTGTGGTAGTGCCGTACAAAACCACAGAGGGGACGGCTAAAGGAGGCGGGGAGGACTTTGAGGACACACATGGAGTCCTGGAGTTTGAGAACGATGAAATCTTGTAAGTACAAATTATCACAAATCTCCTGTCCTGAATAATGAAGTATCAGAAATAATGAAAATCAAATCACTGAAGGGGCTGCACACTTCCTTAATTTCTCTGCAAGGTATTTTGGGTATTAGAGTCTTTGTTAATGTCATTGTGTATATACTGTATATAAAAAATGTAGGATTTCAAGAGGATGATTTCTGACAAGATTGATTACAAATTGATGATTAGTTCCCTCATTGTTCTTTGTTAGGTGAAATTTAGAAAAAATGGTCAAATTAATAAATTAAGTAGATTATCTGTCTCAGTGTGTGAGTGTAGGTTAAGAATGGCCTGATCAGTCCAAACACAGGAGCATGGGGTTCATATGTAAGAAGTCATTCCCTGAATCAACATGGGGTTGGGAGAGAAAATAAAGATGTTTAAGTAACATGTCTAGTCAACAGTGATGATTCATCATACATGGTTCTATCGTCCTGATGGGTTTCCATTTGTAAGTTGCTTTTTAAATGTCCCATGTGGACGTGCTGATGACAGTTTTTGACACAGAAATGGAGTTGAATGGAATATTCTGCCACACCTCCGATTATATTAAATTACATGTTTTGAATGGGCACAACAACGTGCAGTGACATGAATGCTAATTATGGCTCTACGGCTGTGGAGATATCATGATTACAGTTTAAAAACGGTAACATCAACTGTTCAACTAACAGTACGCAACCTCCACTTTAATTCAATTTGATTCATACACCGCTTGTTCATAACAGAAAATATGTCATTGCACTTTTCATATCGAGCAGTTCAAGACCGAGACCCAACAGTTCCCACCATGAGCAAGAACTTAGCCAAAGTGGCAAGGAAAAACTTTAACAGGTAGAAACCTTGAGCAGAACCTGGACTCAGGGTAGGCAGCAATCTGCCTCAACCGGTTTAAAACATTAGTACATAAAAGGACACTTCTTCCTGCATAGATACTCAGTGTTGGCACTGGACGTAATTAATGTACTGCAGAATCGTCCAAAATTAACATAACTCCCTGGGTGATTTAGCGCCATTTGTGACCTGAGCATGCAGTAAGTTAAATTTGACATATATGATAACAGCCCCGCACTGAACACATCCATATGCCAATATTCACTCAAAGTCATAGCGCCACCTGCTGGTAACAGGAAATGACAAGTTTTATGCTATGATGGACTACTCCTAGCAGGTTGGCCATATCAAATTCAAAACTGTCCCAGAAAACCCTTAACGCATTGATGAAGCCATGTTGTAAAACTCGTGACTTCGGAGTTAACGGTGTGGCAAAGTTAAACTCTTCGCCATGACGCAGGAAGTTCTTGTAACTTGACTGTACATGCTCACATCTGTACCAGAGTTTACATGTTTGATAAGAGTCCCGCCCTGAACACATGTACAAGACAACATTCACCAATAGTCACAGCGCCACCTACTGGCAACAGGAAGTGACCTTCAACAAAGCAGCACGTTTTACCTACATATACAAAATTTCTGTGGCATATGTATCATGTCCAGATGTACAAAAAGCCTCTTGGAGCGATGCCCTAAACACAACAGGAAGTCGGCCATTTGAAATTTTATGGTTATTTTGGGATTTTTTTTACACATCCTCCATACTTTAACTCCTAGAGAATTTATCCGACCAACTTCAGATTTTCTTTCTTTTACAAAGTTGTACAAACAGTGAGTTTTTGTGAAACGGCGTGCCCATGGCGTGGCGTCCAAATTCAGGATTTGCCATGAAAGAGGAAGTTGTTGTAACTTCAGTGTACATGCTCACATCTGCACCAAACTTTACGTGCTTCATAACAGTCCCACCCCGAACACATCTGCATGTTAAGTTATAGTGCGAAGTGCTATATAAAGCCACAAAGGGACACAGAAAGTGATGATTAACACGTTTGTACACCGTCCGAAGCCCGTGGCAAATTCACAGCCGCACTGGCAGAGCTCCAGAATCTGCAACGCGGCCACTTCACACCTCTTTGCGCTACACGTGCGAGGGCCGGCCAACGCTGATTGCAGCTTTAATTCTGAATGTTCTGCCTCAGATCTGTGAAGCAATCCACTGTTTGGCGTCAAGTGTTCGTTCTGACCAGAAAGAAAAGTTTAAAACCACATTAACTTTCACAGGAGCAGAAATCAGCCTTTAATCTTGAAAGAAATAATGATTTGATATGTTTTGGATTGTTTTTATTGTGATTACATTCTTGGCCTTATCGCCCAGCCCTAATTGAAGTGTGTGATTGGTTAATGTAATGAGCTAACAGGAGGTTGGTCAAACACATGTCACAGCAGGAGTGCAGAGATACAGTTTCACTTTTTTCCCAGATTTTGCGCAGAATGTAGTCGTGATCTGTGGTTGTGTGTCGATTTAGCTGATTCTCAGACTCTTAATTCAGTTTTTTACACTGAACAAAAATTATAAACGTAACACTTTCGTTTTTGCCCCCATTCATCATGAGCTGAACTCAAAAATCTAAGACTTTCTCTATGTACACATTCTTGATATGCCACACCAGTGAGGTGGTTGGATTATCTCGGCAAGGAGAAGTGCTCACTAACACAGATTTTGACAGATTTGTGAACAACATTTGAGAGAAATAGACCTTTTGTGTACATAGAGAAAGTCTCAGATCTTTGAGTTCAGCTCATGATGAACGGGGACAGCGTATGTAGTGATTTATCCTTATTTTAATGTAAATAAATGTTTTTTCATACCAAACACAAGACCTGAGTTTTGGCACCAACACCCAAACTGTACATTTTTGCACTTTAAGAAACTATCTAGTCACAGAAATTGTAAAAGCACAGAATCTGATCAGACGTTTGGTGCCAACTGATTTCTACAGTAAAACCACTGAGGATCAATACCCAGCAGTCATTTTGGACTGAATCTGCAGCAGGCTGTGTGATAAAACATATTGAACAAGGATTTATTTAATGAAAGCTCTTCCTATTCCCGGAGCTCCACCTCCACGCGGTCATGTGACTGCTAGCTCCAGGTTTACATGCCTCACATAGCAGCAGGCAAACTATTTCCATGTCTGCGGGCAGCAGGAATGTAATGACAACACGTTTATTTCCAGAGCATAAGCACGGCCGCTGGCTGTGAAGGAAGCGGACAGCTTCTTGAAATGGAAAAGGTGCCACGCTCCTTCTTCGTTTCCGTTTATTAATGAGGACGTTGTCCTACATTTACACAGAGTGAGCCTTATATAGACTGATCAAGCTATCAGCTTGAGTCTGCCAGTTAGGACCGTCTGATACAGACTGCTTCACCAGCTGGACCATTTTATACACAGATGTTCACTTATCAATATTAGTGTAAGTATAGAGTATTAATATCAAAACTTAATTTCTAATTTCTCCTGTTTCATATTTGCCTGTGTTGCAGTAGCAGAGCAGGTGTTCACACTGCTGTAAAATAGATGCAGAAGTATGAAATTTACACTCAGTGTCCGTTTATTAGGAACACGTTACTAAAACTAATGCAGTCTGCTGTTTAGTTTGGGTTGATTCAGCTGTGTGATCAGTTGCGGTTGAAGTGTGTTGTATCATACAGAGAGGCCTTTCTGTTAGTTAGCCAACCCTCATTAATTAAAAGCAGGTGGATATCATTTGTGTTTTCTTCAAACTACAGGAAGGGTCTTTGACTCTGAAACAATGCATGTTGGGAGGTTTACCCGATTTCCCGATTTATGTGAACTCACTGCAGTTTCATTCATTGAACTAATTTCAACTTTGAGTCAGAACAACTCATGATTATAAGCTCTGGAAAAGTACACTGAATTAAGCTGAAATTTATGAAACTTTAGATTTACATCAAGGTTCAATTCAATTTTATTTATATAGCGCCAAATCACAACAACAGTTATCTCACAGCGCTTTTCATAAAAGAGCAGGTCTAGACCGTACTCTGTGATGATATTTACAGAAGCCCAACAGTTCCCACCAAGAGCAGCACTAGGCGACAGAGGCAAGGAAAAACTTCCTTTCTGGTTCTGCAGTGTTCTGTGTTATCTCAAGCAGGTGGCACAGAGTTAACTCTGAGCCAGTTTTCAAAAGTCACATTTTTATTCACATTCCTATTTCCTATTTCTTCCAAAACTCTCAGAAAGGATCTTTGGGTCTGAACAGAGCTGCTCTGTGTGACAGGAGCTGCTGTTGATGAGGACCGATCAGGTTACAGCAGGTTGACACGGAGCTGCTGCTGATCAGCTCCATCAGAGCTCCGGCAGGGAACTGATATCCGTCACGTCTGATTGGTCAGGAGCCAACAGACGAAGGTGTTCCTAGTTACCTTCATGAAAAGCAGTTCAGTGCAGAACCTTTTCAGATTTGCTTCAAATTATTTCAAACTGCAGCGACGAAATAATCCAACCCACTACCCGTAACACCACAACGTGTTGATTTTACTCTTAAACAAGATATAATTTGTTAATTAGTCAACTTCTTTAAATTAAAACTTTATTCCAATTTTTTCAGCTTATTTAATTTTACAACTTCATTTTCCTGTTTATTTAATATTTAACAAATGTATCTGTAACATAAATAGATAAATAGAACATTAAAATAAATGAAATTTTTGAAATTAAAATAAGTTTGGTGGCAAAGGAAATAAAAAGCTAATAGAGTGTTATTGTAATGGGATCTGGACCCAAACACAGAACTCTTTAGGTGGAGCAGACCCGAAATCCAATCCAATAATAAATCCAGGGACAGGTAACATTCCCATCAGCCTCAGCTGCACACTGCGTTTACTGCTCATTAGGCTGATGTTAGCATTCAGCTCAATGTACTGCCGTGTCTGAGCCCGTCCTCACAGAGCTGCTAGCATGGCTGCAGTGTGTTAGTCTCTCGTGAGTCTGAACTTTATATCAGCCACAGACTAAATGAGTGGAGCACTCCTTTAATTTCTTTTAAGTGTGGTTCTTCTTATTTTTTCCACGTCTTTGGGATGAAGTGGTTGTTGGATGTTTGTTGACTGGCTGCAGAGTTCAGTGTCTGTTTCCTCCACAGCTCCGCTCTGACTCTTTATTGCATCCTTTGTCAAACCATTCTTCTGTGAGTGCGAGGTGATTTCCAGCTCGGTGTCTCAGATGTCTTTTGTCGTGCTGTTAGTCCAAACCGGCTCGGCTCCTGGTGTGTTGGGCGGATAAACATCACGCAGCTCCCTTCCTTATTAGGGCAGCCTGTGTTCAGCAGCAGCAGCATCCTGCTCATCGTCCAGGCCTCGGCCCATAAAGCAGACAGATGACTGCAGCCGATTCCTCTCAGCCGACCACAGGGGAGGTCGCTGCTGGCCGGCAGCCACTCCAACACGACCAAACTTTTTATTTCAACTTCTGTCTGTTTCCCTCCACAGAAAACTGACTGGACTCTTGTAAAACTACAGAGATGATAAGCAGACTTTCTGTGGAGTTTAGACTGTCACGCTGCACATGAAGCTGCATTCATCAGTATTTTTTTATGTTAACATTAAATCATCTGGTAGCTCTGCAGAGCCTTTTAGCTCCTGGTTTTGTTTTTCTGGCACGTTTACTTAGACTTTGACAATTTTATACATACAATGTACCAAACTGCCACCTAAAAAATCATGAACAGGATCAAATCTGCTGCTTCAGGCTTTGATTTTATCAGCTTGATCAGCATTTGTGTTGTGAATTATTTGAACCAAAGAATGATGTTGTTGGCTCTTACCCAGCAACTTTGCATTGACCATCGGTCAATGATGGTGTGAGGAAGAAATGCCACTGTTTATTAAAAATGTAGCTTTTGTACAGACTCGCTGCCCTTGACACTTACCGTACACGCCGAGCTAAAACCAGAAAAAAGAGACCTCTTGGAGTCTTCGGGGTCGGCAGATTTCTTTACCCACTGTAGACCTAATGTAGTGGTCGGCAATAGGTGGCCCTCGGGCCAGAACTGACCCCCCAGCAATAATTTTAGGCCCCCTGCCAGATTGCTCTGTCCTGCCTTTAATGAGTTTCAGCTGTGGCCCTGCAGTCACTCGTCTGGCCTTGAACATGCCCGCACATGAAGGAGAGGGAAAGTGTGGGCCGTTTACACGTCGTCAAATTGTATTTTACATTAACAGAACTTAAAATTTAATTTTTGATTAACTGAAAATGTTAAACTCTGACAAGTCATGATAGTATATTGAATCAAAAGGCATAATGTGTGTGATCCAAGCTCAGTAAAACAACAATTGCAAGTAAAAAGTCTAACAGTATCTCAGAAGTAGATTTTTTATTTCACAACAATATATATATTATGACTAAAGGTCCCCTGAATTAGTTTTTAGAGTGTGCTACCTCTGGAGTTTTTCTTGAGAGTTGGGCGACTTTCAGTGCCTGTTAGTGTTGTTGTGTTTAATTTAAATACTTTTATCATCTCCATTTCATTTCTCATGTCTGCCACCGTCAGGATACAAGAAACTCCTGAGTTGGTAGATTTGTTTGTTTACTTTGAAAAATAGCGAAGTAGTCGCCTCTTGATTTCATCAGCTTTGTGTCGCCTACACTTCAAAGAAGTGAACTCAGTTTACTGTTTGATCCACATGATTATAACTTCTTAAATATTATTTTTCAAATGAAAATGAGACAGTCATTTCTAAAATAATGTCATGTGAATTCTTCCAGTTTATTATTTTGTAAACAGGACACATGTCTAAATATTCTTTGTCACAGTTTTTCTGCTGAAGTTGTTGATCAGTACAGATGTAAACTAAGATTAAAATCACAAATGTAACTGGTTCCAACAAAATCAGTGAAGGGATGTTTAAACCTTAAAATGCAGGACGTTCATTGGGATAGAGATTCCTATTCTGAAGGAACCAAATAACGTCCATGTTCCACGTCTCTTAATTTGGGTTTGACGGATAAAACATGAAGCACTAACGTTCTGTGAAAGCTTTTCTAAAACTAGGATACATCATGTGTCCTGGAGTCACAGAGACAAAACCCCCAACCATCAATCTGCTGGTATTAAATAAACATGGAAATGGATCAAGGCGATTTTCTGTTTCCACGCTGCTGGTGCGCACGCACACACACACACACACACACACACACACTCTGTGGATCTGGCCAATGAGGGCTGCTGTAGCCTGCAGCCCAGTGAAGCCTCCAACACTCGAAGGCAGAACAAACTGTGTCACCAGCTTTCTTCATGTTGGATCATTGAATCAGCAGTGACCTAAACAAGCTTTGGGCTGAACAGGAAACTCATCGCTAATCTCTAATGACCACCTCCAACTGTAAACAAGGTCTCAGGTCTGTGTGTCCAGACGCCTGATACCCGAGTCCAAATAGAGTCTCTGAGACCAAAACTGTGAAGAGACTGGTTCAGTTCAAGTCCAGCACATTCTGGATCTGGCCTTTCAGATCGGGCCCATTTATGCACTGCAGGTTTACTCAGCGTCAACGGTCAAACATTTCTGAGCCATAAGGACCTCTAGCACGCGCTGTGTGAACAACCTTTAAGCTAAAGAAAGGGCGCCATCTTGGCTTCTGGTACCCGCTATGTGTAACTGAAACACACTGCAGGCAAGTTAGAGTGAAACATCACTGACTGCAACAACCATTCTTCTGTCCTGACGCACTAAGGCAGTCAGTGCATCACCACCTCCAACATGGTCTCTGACACCATCCTCCTCTTATTCACCTGCTTCTCTGTGACCTCGGCACACTTCTCCTTCTGCAACCTTTGTTGTTTTCTTCTGTTTCAGCAAAGCTATTCAGATCAATATAATTGATGATGAAGAATATGAGAAAAACAAGAACTTCTTCCTAGAGATCGGAGAGCCTCGCATGCTGGAGATGAGTGGGAGGAAAGGTGGGGGTGTCGCCTTCCTGTGCCGTAACCCCGCCCCCTTCTAACCCCACCCACATCACTAATGACCTTTAAACTCTGTCAGTCCAAACTCACCTCAAGGCCTCACAGGGAAAACCATCACCGATCAATCTGTTTTAGATATTTTTTCCTCGGACATTTCAAATATAATATTTCCTTCATTGTGACTTTAACCTCCGAGGGTTCGATCCCTCCTCCCTGCAGGCCAGGTGAGGTGATGTCATCTCCTCCTCATCCCTGTTATGGTGTTTCCACTGTGATTTAGACGCTGTGATGACGGAGTCCTGTCAGATTGCGTCTGTCGGCCTCCATGTGTGTGTTTGAATGTGTGTTGGTGAACTAATGCATGACCCCTGACCTCCCCTCCCACTGTCTGTACTCTTTCGTCCGCAGGAAGACCATAGCCGTTAGAATAATTGACCATGAGGAGTACGATAAGCAGGCCAGCTTCTACATAGAGCTGCAGGAGCCATATTGGAACAGGCGGAGATGGACAGGTGCGAAAAGGCACCTTGACCTCCCTGGTGACCTTTGACCTTTCCTTCATCTACCTTGAGGCGCTCTTTTCCTGCTTTTGTTCAGTTTGCTCCTGTTGCTGTCGCTCCGCTGCCTTCTCCTTCACAACACCTTCAGCTGACCTCCTATTGGTCAGAGCTATTTTTGGAGGGTTTTAGAATCAGTTAGGATTGGTTAAGGCTGGTCAGCACTGGTTAAGAAAAACTAACCAGTCAAGAGATGTTAAGACCGGTAAGGACAGGTTCGATTTGGACTAGTTTGGACTGGTTGGGACTTGGAACTGATTGGGAATGCAAGAACTGGTTTGGAGTAGTTGGTTAAGGTGGGGACAAGTTAGAACTGGTTAGGACAGGATGGGATACTTTTAACTGGGGCATGGAGGGAAAGACAGGTCTGGACCTGTTTTTACAGGATGGATGGGAATAGTAAGAACCGGATGGCACATTGTGTGACACGTTATGACAGATTAGGACAACGTGGGACAGGTCTGCACAAGTTTGGACAGATTGGGACTGCGTGGAGGTTTGGAAATGGTCGGACAGTTTGACATGTTGTGACTGGTTACAACTGGTTGGAACATGTTAGGAAAGGTTATCCAGGTATAGATGGGTTTTGATAGAATGGGAAACTTTTATGTTCAGACAGGTTTAGACATTTTGGGACAGGAGAGGAACAGTTACGACTGGTTGGAACATGGCGGGACATATTTTGGACAGGTTGGGACATGTCTGCTTGTGTTAACACATATCCTCTGTTTATCCCCGTTGTATTAAACCTGCCTGTGTGTGTTTTCATCTCACAGAGTTTTGGTTTGACTAAACATCCTCCAGAAGCCCCAGCTTTGACAGTATGCAGTATTTACAGACTTTAACAGGGATGGATTTTAGATGTTTCCTGCTTCGTTTGATGTTCATTATGTTCAGGCTCCTGTTCATGTGTGGTTTTACAGACCTGATTTGATTGATGATGATTTGACATTTGAAATCTGGTGTAACTGTTAACACACAGGTTCATTCTCAGTGAGCTGGAGAGTTCTCATATATAAAGTCATTTTCTTAAACTCAGCTAACAGTTTCCAGCTGTTCTGAGCTCCTCTTTGTCTTCTTGCTTGTTTGTTTATCTGCTTCATTTCTCTCATTTCCTTCTCGTCTGTTTCTTCTCTTCAGCTATGTTGCTTCATGAAGTCGGTAAGCTGGTCAGATTTATCCATTTTCTGTCTTTTCTGCCTTAAAACATATTCATGTTTTAAAGATTCACTTTAAATCAAGAGCAAATTTTGAATTCTTGTTTCATATTTTCTAAACTTCTAGGTGGATTCATCAAAACAGGTAGGTGAAACCAAACACTGGTCCTTTACATTCTGTCTCATTTATTAATGATTTAATGTGGCAACAATATTAACTGTTGATCTGAGTTCATTTATCTTCTTTGTATGATTTCTTACTAGACAAACAGCTGTATGGTAAGACCTCTCTGTGGTGTAAACGTTTTCTTTAAAGTGTTTTGACACTTAAAGCAACGTGTTAATGTCACAGTGAAACCTCTCAGCTGGCTCTCATTTATCCCTCGGTGGAAGCACAAATAAAGAAATAGTATTACTTTATTAACCCCCTTGGGGAAAATGTAATTTTTACATCTCCATAAAATACAAAATGTCCACCATAAAATCCCTGGCTGGATCAGAACTGGTAGCAGGCGACTAGTTTATGGAGACTAATTAGTCTCAATATTGGTGACAAATGCGTGTTTTTAGTTTTTAAAATGTGTCTGATATTGATTTGAAATTCCACATGAATGAAACACAATCAGTTTAATCTAAAAATAAATGCAATAGTAGAACTGTGGTTAAACTATCCAGCCCTGCGACACATTTCACCAAGACTCTAGAACCAAACATTTGGTGGGGACAAGTAGAACTTTGTGGTGTCAAAGCCTTCTCTTTCCCTTCATTTCCTGTCTGCCTCTCCACAATCATCTGTCCAATAAAAACAGAAATATATATTTTTTTAAATAGAAAAAGACTCTACCTGTGTGTTGAATGAGAGCCTGTCTTTGATATGATGTCCCATTTGAGACATTATACAGATGTCAACTGATGAGAACATCTGAGAGCACACGTTAACATTCAGTAGATCTTTGTGTGAAAGCAGGAGTTCATACTAAGAACATTAGTGTTCCTTGCTTACAATCAGAGAACCTGTGTGTGGTAGAAAGATCTGGAAGAGCCGTCAGGGTCTCTGAAGTCTTTGTGAAAGCTTCCGAGGAACCTTCAGTGTTTCCACTGCTCTACGGAGAACTTCTGAAGGTTTTGTCACAGAGTGTGGGAGTTTACGCCAAACAAAACTGCATGTGACGTGTTCTTAAATACCACAAAGCCCTGAGCACTGTGAGTCCAGAACACTGTCCTTTTCCTGCGAGTCATAATGAGAACAGACGTTACTTCTATACTGATTTATGTACTTCCTATATGGACCTCAACCTCCAGAATTAAAATGGTTTAGACTTGTAATTTAACATAATCATCTTCATTTGGTCAGTTTTACACACAGTACATTGCATGTGGAAATTGTCCTGCATTTAAACCATCCTTATTAGGAGCAGTGCTTTTTCATTACTTTTTTTCCTGGATTCCAGAAGTATGGAAGTGAATAAATGCCACAAAGATTTGAATCTTAAAAACACCTAATGGTGAAATTTAAATTCCAGTAAAACATTTTCCTTTCAGATTTTATGACTTTATCTGTTGGTTCAAATCATTTCAAGATGTTCATCTAGTTGTTGGGTGGAGGCTGTGATGTGTCATGACTTTCTCTGGTTCAGGTGCTGCGACCAGGTGTCCGATTTCAGTAGAATCAAGTTTCTTTTCACTTGTTCAGGCAAAGACATCTACAGGAAGGTCCAGGGACGAGAGCACCCCGCCCCCTCTACCATCATCAACATCACAGGTACTTCATCTGCACGTCTGTCCGTCCATCTGCCACCTTCCATCAGTCTTTATTTCCACCACCAAATCTGTTTTTTTCATCTATCCTTCCTTAAATGTATGTATCCAACTATCCATCTGTTCTGTGATCCATCCATTTATCCAAGTCTCCATTGCATTCATCCATTCTATTCAACCATCTGTCCATCCATCCATCCATCAGTTCATCTGTACATCCATCTGTCCTCAGATCAGCCATCAGTTCATCTGTTCATTTGTCTTTCCACCACTGTGTCCAGTCATCATTTTTCCATTCATCTATGCATCCATTTGTTTATCTTGCTATCCATGCGTCCATTTACATGTCCATGAAGATTCTCAGTCACCCAGGTCATAGTTATCCAATGAAGGTTAAAATCAAGGGCAACTGGACTTGGTTGAAGATACTGGAAGACGTTTCGTCCCTCTTCAGTTCTGACTGACTGGCAGGGAAACTCAGCTATTTAACCTCAGTGGGGTCGTTTGCCCTAAATGGACCTTTGTGAAAACAGCCACAAGATCCAAGAAGAACTAAACTACAGGGGAGGAAAAGAAGGTCAAACGCAACAACATTGTGATTCCATACGTGTCTGGAGTATCAGAGAAACTCAGGAGGATTTTCAACAAACATAACATCCCTGTGTTTTTTAAACCCAAGAACACACTAAGACAGATGCTGGTACACCCCAAAGACCGCACACCCAAACACAAGAAAAGCAATCTAGTGTATGCGGTCCACTGCAGTGAGGAATGCACAGACCTGTATATTGGGGAGACTAAACAACCACGACACAAACGCATGACTGTAACGACTGTCGTTACAGCAACAAGGAACGAACCAGCGGTATCGATGACCCTGGCAAACGACCCCACTGAGGTTAAATAGCTGAGTTTCCCTATCTACTGGTTGTGTCCCTGATTATTTTAAAACGGCTTGCGTGAACCCACTTTTAAAGAAACCTGGTTTAGATCCCTCCCTCCCACATAATTTTAGACCAATTTCAAAACTGCCTTTTATTGCAAAGATTTTAGAAAGAATTGTGTCCAAACAGCTGCTCACTGTACTGGAAAATAACAAAATATTTGAAAAGTTTCAGTCTGGTTTTAGGAAGTACCACAGAACTGAGACTGCCCTGCTTAAAATCACCAATGACCTTTTAATGTCTGCTGATGATGGTATGTGCTCAGTCCTGGTACTCCTGGACCTTAGCGCTGCTTTTGACACCATTGATCACAACATCATGTTAGACAGACTGAGGCACTGGGTGGGGATCTCTGGTACTGCTCTAGAATGGTTTTCATCCTACCTGTCAAATAGGAAGTTTTGCGTGTCTGTAAACAACTATGTCTCCTCATTCTGTCCTGGTAAATATGGTGTGCCTCAGGGGTCGGTCTTAGGACCCATTTTGTTTTCCTTGTATCTGCTTCCCCTTGGACATATTATCCATAAACATGGCATTTCTTTTCATATTTATGCTGATGACACACAAATATACTTGCCCGTCAGATCCACAGACCCTGGAATGCTGAGTTCACTTAACAACTGCCTTTGTGAAGTTAAAAAATGGATGTCAAATAATTTCCTCCAGCTGAACTCAGACAAAACAGAAATCCTGGTCATCGGGTCTCAGCAGATGGTTTACTGGTTCCCTAGTAAATCATATTAAGCCTGTGGCAAAGAACCTTGGTGTCTGGTTTGATCGTAATTTAAATTTCGAGCAGCACACCACAAAGCTTGTTCAATCATGTTTTTATCAACTTAGAAATATAGCAAAAATTCGATCTATGTTAACTTTTAAGGACACCGAGACCATTTTACACTCCTTCATCTCATCACGCCTGGATTATTGCAACAGCCTTTTCACCTGTTTAACCAAAAATCTATTGATCGACTCCAGACTGTCCAGAACTCAGCTGCCAGGCTTTTAACCAGAACAAAGAAATATGACCACATTACTCCTATTTTAGCTTCATTACACTGGCTCCCAGTATGTTTTAGAATTGACTTTAAAATTCTATTGATCACTTTTAAAGCTCTTCATGGCCTCTCGCCTTGTTATATTTCTGACCTTTTAGTCCCATACGCACCAGCACGTACCTTGAGATCCTCGGGCAGAGGTCTGCTGTCTGTTCCAGAGTCTCGACTGAAAACTAAAGGGGACAGAGCGTTTGCTGTCAGGGCCCCGAGGCTCTGGAACAGCCTGCCCGAGGAAATCAGGTCGGCTGAGTCAGTGAACTCTTTTAAGTGCCTTCTTAAAACATGCTTTTATAGGAGATCCTTTCCCGATCTTATTTGACTTTATTTTATCCCTTTTATTTTATTGTATTTTACTAATTTTATATTAATCTGTATTTTAGTCTTTTCAATGTTTTCATGCTCTTATCTTGTTTTTTTTGTATTATTCTTTACACTTGTTAAAGCACTTTGTAACTTGTTTTAGAAAAGTGCTCTACAAATAAGGATTATTATTATTATTATTATCTTCCATTCATCCAAATTGTTTGTCTCAATGCTTAAGTTTCTATGTCCATCCATCTATCCATCTTATCACCCATCCATCCTGCCATCCAACAGAAAGATGGACTACTGTGTAGGGAATAGTAAATGAATGAAGGAGGCTTAGGAACGAATAGACAGAGGTCCATCCATCCATTTGTCTACCCCCCCATCTATTTAGTCTAAGGTTATTCGTCCAACCATCCATCCGTCTAGCTAGTTGCCCTTGTCCATTCTTCCATCCACCCATCCACTCACTCATTATACCCACCCATTAGTCCATACATTTACTCATTTAGCTGATGCTTTTATCCAAAGAGACTTAAAATTGCCATTAATGTCAGAGGTCGCACGCCTCTGGAGCAACTAGGGGTTAAGTGTCTTGCTTAGGGACACATTGGTGGATGTGTTGCAGTAGGAATCGAATCCAGGTCTCCCACAAAGGGATGTGCTTTATCAACTGCGCCATCACCACCCCAGTCCTTCCATCTATTCATGTGTTCACTCACCTATCTATTCCTAAGTTTCTGTACATCGACCATCCATCCATCCCATCCTCCATGTTGTTTGCAATCCTTGTTCACCATTTGTGTCTTCCCATCAAACTCTCTCTCTCTCTCTCTCTCTCTCTCTCTCAGAGGAGGGGGGTGAGGAGCTTTTGAGCAAGAAGGAGGAGGAAGAGAGGCGGATCGCAGAGATGGGCAGACCGATGCTGGGCGAGCACGTCAAACTGGAGGTTGTCATAGAAGAGTCATACGAGTTCAAGGTGGGATCATTTTTGTTAGATATAATTTATTAAAACATCAAAATAAGCACATGCTATCAGTTCTCAAACTGAAAATCAGATGGGTGACCAAACTAATGGGATCATTTGTAGCAGAATCAGCAGGACTCCGGGCTTTTAAACATGTTATTGTTTAGTGACTCACTGTGTCGTTTCCAGAGCACCGTGGATAAACTGCTTAAAAAGACCAACCTGGCCCTGGTGATCGGGACTAACAGCTGGAGAGAGCAGTTTGTGGAAGCCATCACAGTCAGCTCTGGTAAGAACTTGACATTAACCAAACTCGGGAGGTTTGACTGTCCAGTTTCAGCTTGTAGTTTGTTTTATTTACTGGGACAATGCACATTGATCGACATTACTGTTAATGTGCCGGTGTTAGCAACTGTTGTCCCTTGACCTGATGTCAATAAGCCAATTTAACGAAAACAAACACACAATATGTAAAATTAGAACAGGTGAAAGTGTAGCAAAGAAAACTGGCTGCATTATTGGCATTCATAAAAATAGAAGATTACATAAAAACAGAGATTAACTCGCCCAAGCTTTAAATTTGAATCAGTATTGACTCCTGGCTCTGGCCTTCATCTCCTGCCAAGGTGATGATGATGACGACGATGATGGCGAGGAGAAGGTACCCTCCTGTTTCGACTACGTCATGCACTTCCTCACCGTCTTCTGGAAGCTTCTTTTTGCCTTCGTTCCTCCCACTGATTACTGGAACGGCTGGGCCTGCTTCGTCGTCTCCATCTCAGTCATCGGCATGTTGACGGCTGTGATCGGGGACCTGGCGTCACATTTCGGCTGCACAGTCGGCCTGAAAGACTCTGTCACAGCTGTGGTGTTCGTGGCTTTGGGCACATCTGTACCAGGTCAGAGACAAATCTGCCCCACTGTCCTCACTTTCAATTATAGGACAATGTATCATATTCATTTGGTAGATGCTTTTGTCCAAAGCAAATGTACAATAAATGAGAATCAGAATTTCTTTCCTTAACCCCATCACCCAAAGTCTGTATGGTAAAGTTTTAACTCAAAATTTATGAAAATACCCAACTATGATGTAACACTGCACAACAGTTCAGTGTTGTTACAGTTTGTAGCAACTTGATGGATCTCAAACAAAGCATCTCGTCTCCACTTTCTCTTTCCCTCAGACACCTTTGCCAGTAAGGTGGCAGCCACCCAGGACCAATACGCTGATGCCTCCATCGGCAACGTGACAGGAAGTAATGCTGTGAATGTCTTTCTGGGTATTGGCGTGGCCTGGTCCATCGCTGCCATCTACCACTACTCCAAGGGCCAGGAGTTCAGGGTTGACCCCGGCACGCTGGCCTTCTCTGTCACACTCTTCACCATCTTTGCCTTCATCTGCATTGCCGTCCTCATCTATCGCCGCCGGCCCGAGATCGGAGGGGAGCTTGGTGGACCCCGAGTCCCCAAGATCCTCACCACCTGCCTGTTCTTCAGCCTGTGGTTAATGTACATTGTCTTTTCCTCACTGGAGGCCTACTGCCATGTAAAGGGCTTCTGAAAGTTCTGCTTCCAACAGGTCCCCAACAGTCTCTGTTGAACAGTTCTGATGGATTTCTAAAGGTTCCTGCATATTCTGACAGGTTCTCACATTTCTGTTATTTGTCTAAAGGTTTGGTACATGTCTACGTGTTGTAACTGACAGTTGATGATTCCTAGAGGTTCTGAAAGAGTTCTGAAATCCTTATTGTTCTAAAAGACTTTTTGATGATCTGGTTTCTAAACACAGATACACAACTATTGTGCTGGACTTTGTATAGTTCTTTTCTGTGCTTAAGCGGTCTAGCAAGTTCAAAACAACTTTAAAAGGTTTCTAAAGGTTCTTGAAGTATTGGACAGCTTCTTGACAGTCCTGATGCATTGCGAAGAATCCTATAGGTCTTGCAGAATGTGACAGGTTCCTGTCATTTTTCTAAGGGTTTGGACAAACTAAAGGGCTCTGCTGGGTTCTGACAGGTTCCTATAATTTATGGTCTAAAGGTTTAGATAGAGCAATAAAATGTAGTCCAAAAATTGGATCAGGTTCCTGATTGTTGGTGGATTCCCAGGGTTCTGGATATATAATAGTTCTAATAGTTGTGAGTATTCTGGTAGGTTTCTGACATTTCTGAAGGCTTTTCTGATGATCTGACAGTTTAAGAATTTGAAACTGTAAAGTAATTTTAGGCTTGTTAAGGTCTAACAGGTTTAAAACATTTTTGATGGGTTTTTAAAGCTCCCAAAGGTTCCTGGCAGATTCTGCATGTTCTTGACAGTCCTGGTGGATTTTTGTTAGTGTGGAACCCTCACCTGAAGCTTCTTTTTGACTTAATCTGGTGTCCATATTGGACTGTTTTCTGGCTGCTGAGTGCTGGTGACCTCCAAGACTGGACTATGTTCATCCTTACATACCTCCTGGACATTTAAAGACCTGTATCATAACTTCTTCACCTGTACTTTTAATCAATGTGTAATATAAACAATTTTAAATTTTGTTGTGCAGCGACTTTGAACCACAGCCACAGTAGTGACGAGCCATGGTGATAAAGGAGGCAGCTCTTGTTGGAGAAGAAAACCTGCAGGACTTGTGATGTTGAAGGCGACTGGAGGAGTAGTGTTGCACCTAAATGAATATCTGCACTAAGTTTGAAATAGTTAATGTTGCGCGTAGGAGGATCCAGAGTTGGTTGTTGAAGCAATTAAAGGTCTTTGCTGCACCGAGACCAGAGACTCTACTGAGCTGAACCTGAGCTGCTGCAGCAGTGGATTCTTAATTTTTGCAAAAATAACATCGTGTATGTGTGTTTGAGTGTGAGCACATACATAACCTCAAAGAACACTGAAAAGAGACGTCAGTCATGATGTTCTGTGATATGATTGGTTTAGAAAAATCAGCCAACTGGGTGCCTGTTGGATGACGTAAACACAAGTGCTGTTGCGTATTATCTGAGAACAGAATGCAGTGTCTTTCCTTTAAATATTAAAGTACAGTGAGTGACAGGTTGTCTTTCTTCTTGAATGCTTTTCAGTATTTCTCCTCTCTGATTGGTCCACAGAAAAAGTTGACTTAGTTAACAAACTTAAAGTCTTAAGAGTTGCTATCGCCCCTTGGAGGCTGCAGTGTTAGTTACAGCCACAATAAAACAAACATTCACCTACAGCATTAATAAAAAGAGATTTGTGTTTTGTTGGGAGTCATATTGACTTGATTCATTTTCAGTTAGAGATGTTGTCTTCATTTAGACTATTTTACAGGAGTACAGAAGACTGACTTTGACTGACATTTTGGATATAAAGTCTTTATGCAGTATTATTTGTGTAAAATATTTTACACAAAAAAGGCGTTTGTGAGGTCACAGTGACCTTTCACCACCAACTTCTAATCAGCTCGTCCAAGTGGACATGTGTGCCAGATATAATAAAATTCTCTGAAGGAGTTCCTGAAATATTGCGTTCACAGGACAGACAACTCGAAAACATAATGCTGGTCACTAGCGTAGAGGAATAAAGATACTCCTTATTACTGCAGAAGAAAGTCCTCTTCAGTATTAAACAAAGACCCTTTAAATGTTAACTTTAAAATCAACCTTTTCATGTTGCACTATATTCTTTGGACCTTACTAAAGCTCAGATTCTCGGTCAACACTGGGGGGGGGGGGGGGGGGGCAGATTTGACTTTTAAAACCTCTCTACTGGAGGAAAGGTTATGGGGTCATTAAAAAATAAAGGGTTAATCCACTGGAGGGCAGGAAGCGATCAGATCATTTAAAGACAATCTGACCAAGAGGTGGACATACAGTCTGCCTCTAACTGGAAGTATTGAACGTGAGGATCCTCTTGTAGAAATAAGTGAACAAAGAGACGTCCAGTTTTGTTTATTGTTTCAAACATCCTACAGGTTTTACATCTTTTACAAAACTGCTCACTGCCTGTTTAAAGGGTTGAAGCTCTGCAGTGTGCAGCAGTGATGATGGGTTATTAAACACAAACAAGAAAACTTCATGAAACACAAAATAGTGAAATTCTAAGGGCCAATTAGAGGCTAAGCTTTGAGTTTTTTTTAAATCAATCCAGGTGAGGTCGCTCCAGCAATTTTGTGGCAATACTTTAATAATGAAGAAATGCCTCTTCAAAAAGCCCATTCCTGAAGGCATGAGAGGGTGGGAAACAGGAGGCGCCGTTTCCCACCCTCTCTTATGCCTTCAGGAATGGGCGTTGTCACACCCTGATTGGCCAAGAGGGGAAACACTGCTGATCGTAATCATTGTTGAAAAGTCAACAGGTGATCTGAATGATCCTCTAATGAACCCAGAGGAGCGCTGGACAATGACCCAAAATGAATATGGAAAAGGAAAATAAATTAGCAGCAAATTGGTATGAATGAGGAACAGCTACAATTTAAACCACTGGTTCGCAAAGTCAGACCCCCGGGGTTCCTTGAGGGGGCTCCAGGGGGTCCTCAGCAAAAGAAATAGTCAGTTACTTTCCCAATACTACGATCCATAAGTAACACAATGACAGAATGTATGATGGTGGGGGTCCGTGGCCTTATGGGTCCTTCATGTCACGATGCCTGAAATTTAGTAATCAATACCAATGAAATTCCACAATACTTTATAGCAATTTGATACCACGGTAAAAAAACAGAAACAAAAAAATAAATCCCATCATGTACTTCATCATACACTCCTTTAACCCCTCAACAGTGATTGTTGCAAATTTGCATCACACCTCTGCCTTTCAGACTGCAGCTGAGATAGCATATGTATTCCCCAAATGCCTGTTTGTGCATATTCAATAGGTACCTGGGAACCTTTTGCATGCACTGGTTTCTCGTTTATGCCTGTTGTCGTTAATTTGCATCATACCTAATTTATTTTTTTTTTGTAAATAAATTCAGGCATCAATGGGTTAATTAAAACATCTGAACATTACAAAGAACGACTAACATCTGTGAAAGCTGTGAGAGGATGTCCAGGACAGATGAGTGGTGGTTTGATGTCAATATATTCATAAAGGAGAAAACGGTTTAAATTACAACCTTGCAATGTGCATTTTCAATTTGTGCATTTACTATAATCAGTCCTCAAACCCTGCACAGGCTCAGAATGGTCTTGAGGAAAATCTGGGAGGTCCTGGGATGTTTTTCTGAGTGACTCAATTGCACTTGTATTTTACTTTACATAAGTACTAACAGTGCAGGACAGATGCTAGATGCTTTTTGACTCACAATAATGCTCACCAGGTTTCATAATTAAGTAAAGTGAAAAATTATGACATTTAAATGTAATTCATTAAATAATAAATAAATAAATTAGTTAGTAAAAATTAGTTAATAAAATCACTCTTTTTGTCAGTATGAGGAGACAAAATATTACCAGGCCATATTTTCTCCCTCTAAATTTTCACTTGAACAGTGTTCATTCAGCTTTTTTTCTTCCTGTGCTTTGAATGGTGGGCGCCCGGGGCGATGGCTGGTGCGCGAGCAAAATGTTACTGTGGAGGATGCGAGTGCTTAATTATATCGGACAGCGTGCAATGTGGTTATAAGGTTTCTGGGAGAAAAAACTACGAACTTGAAGCAGGAATCAAGGCTAACCACCCGGGAATTGAGGCAAGTTAACGTCTCCTTTGCAATAAAAATTTGAACAAAGCTAGCATTCAAATTTTATAAAATAATTTATCAATATGTGAGATGAGTGAAATAAAGACTCAAATTATAAATATCTCGGTTTTCGTTAGAGCCGATTGACCAAAATTCTAATTAAAATTATAAGAATGAGTAAGAAAATAACAATCAGATTAAAATAGCCAGACTTTTAGTCAACTAAAACTTGATTAAAAAAATAATATACATTAGACTAAATATGAAAAAAACTAACAAGGACATTTAACACAGGACTAAATTTAAAAATGGCTGACAAAATTAACATTGGTGACTTTGTGTGTGAGGCCATAGAAATGTTACAACGCTTTCATCAAGTTGAAGTTATCACATTATAAAGTATAGTCCTCCCTCCAGCCCCGCTCACTCTCTCTGTTTGGTTTCATTGCAGTGTGCTCTTTAGCACTCAGAACTCCCCCTGCTGACCATAAGGTGCCTCTGCAGACCAGCCATTTCAAACCCAGCCTCCAGTCTTTGGGCCACGCCCCCTTATCTGCATACACTCCTCAATCCTAAATGCCCAAATCTAAATAAATGCATTTTTGATTTAGACTTTTAGTTTTTGTTTTAATTCTGACCCAATAATCCCTCCAGATTTTCGGTACGTAGCAAAATCGAGCATTGACATGTTATCTGAATTTTGGTCGACTTGGTACCGAAGTATCAATTACCCTGACATCCCTAACCCTTGAACCGCTTCTTTAAACAGTGAGTGGAATGGAGTGAATACGTGGTGGAGGTCAGGGTGTAAGTAAATGTACAAGCCAACCACCCAGGCTGTAAGACTGACCGTCACTTTGGGGTCATTTGGTTGACTAACAAGATATTTGATATATATTATAACAGTCAAAAAGAGGCTCTTACCTCTAGGGCCCCAGGGCCACTAACTGTGAATAAGCTGAACTTTTGTAGATTTGGGCTTGAGGACCTGTTTGTTTTGTCCAGCTTTGAAGAACTAAAAAATAATTAACAGTTAATCCACTTACACACTGCATTAATATTATGTGTTATTATTATGATGATGATAATTATCATCAGATAAATACACTTTAGGCTGTGTACAGCATTTACAGGAAGTAATAAATATCCACATCAGAATTAAAATAAATAATTAAAAAGTAACTTATATGGTTCAAATATTTCTATTCCAACATGACATGAGTGAATAAAAGGCAAACAAGGTTTCTGCTCCTGGTACAAAACTGTTCAGCCTATCACTTCACCATCTGCTCACAAGGACATGCCCACAGGAGGTCATGTGAGACAGGTGAGGAGGAGGAGAAGGTTCAGGGTTTGTTGTAGCCGAAGATTCCCACGGGAAAGTATTTAACATGGGTCGGCCACTGAGCAGCTAGCTGGAAAAACTTGACATCGTTCCACTCCACTCCATCTATAGAGACTGAGAGAGATGAAGGGGACGCTGTTGCTTTAAATCTATCAGCATGATGTCATCAGTGTGTGTGTGGTCTGATCAACAGCAAATGTCATGTTGGAGGTCTCAGCAGCTGTTGGAGGGATTGTAATAGAGAAGTCCCCACTGGGATAGAGGAACAAACATGTGTGTGTGTGTGTGTGTGTGTGTGTGTGTGTGTGTACCTCTCAGTGTGTGTTGGTGTTTGGAGGTACAGATCAGTCTGCTGATTCCTTCGATCAGCTGACTCCTCGACTCCGCCTCCTTCTCCTTCGTTTTCTTACTGAGGAACATGACTGACAGACACACAAACCATCATCACCATCATCATCACCACCATCACCACCCTCACCATCATCATCATCACCATCATCATCATCACCACCCTCACCATCCTCACCATCATCACCACCACCCCCACCATCCTCATCATCACCATCATCATCACCATCCTCACCATCATCATCACCATCACCATCCTCACCATCATCACCACCATCACCATCCTCACCATCATCACCATCCTCACCATCATCACCACCATCACCATCATCACCATCCTCACCATCTTCACCATCATCATCACCATCCTCACCATCATCACCACCATCATCACCATCACCATCCTCACCATCATCACCACCATCACCATCCTCACCATCATCACCATCCTCACCATCATCACCACCATCACCATCATCACCGTCCTCACCATCTTCACCATCATCATCACCATCCTCACCATCATCACCACCATCATCACCATCACCATCCTCACCACCTTCACCACCTTCACCATCCTCACCATCATCACCACCATCACCATCCTCACCATCATCACCACCACCCCCACCATCCTCATCATCACCATCATCATCACCATCCTCACCATCATCACCACCATCACCATCCTCACCATCCTCATCACCATCATCATCCTCACCATCATCATCACCATCATCACCATCATCATCATCACCATCATCATCATCACCACCCTCACCATCCTCACCATCATCACCACCACCCCCACCATCCTCATCATCACCATCATCATCACCATCCTCACCATCATCACCACCATCACCATCCTCATCACCATCATCATCCTCACCATCACTATCCTCACCATCATCACCACCTTCACCATCCTCACCATCATCATCACCATCACCATCCTCGCCATCATCATCACCATCACCATCCTCACCATCATCACCACCTTCACCATCCGCACCATCATCACCACCTTCACCATCCTCACCATCATCACCACCATCACCATCCTCATCATCATCACCACCATCCTCATCATCATCACCATCACCATCCTCATCATCATCACCACCATCACCATCCTCATCATCATCACCACCATCCTCATCATCATCACCATCACCATCCTCATCATCATCACCATCACCATCACCATCCTCATCATCATCACCACCATCACCATCCTCATCATCACCACCATCACCATCCTCATCATCATCACCACCATCCTCATCATCATCACCACCATCACCATCCTCATCATCATCACCACCATCCTCATCATCATCACCACCATCACCATCCTCATCATCATCACCACCATCCTCATCATCATCACCACCATCCTCACCATCATCACCATCATCACCACCATCATCATACCTCCTCTTCCTCACCTTTCTTGTTCTTCTCTTTGGTCACCACCGTCATGCTCATCAGCTCTCCTCCACTGATCCTCGACACCTGCAGACAGCGGAAGTTGCTCTTCAGTGTGTTCTTCACCCCCACCTCCTTCCTCCGCTCTCCTCCTCCTCCCTGACTGCTCCAGTAGTCCACCTGCAGACCCATCACTTCCCCCGGACAGCTGGACGGACAGGAGGAGGCGGAGACACAGGACAGCGGTTAGGTCGTAGTAACAGTAACAGACTCCATTTTGGAAAAAATGTGTCTTGCTGTAAACAAGAAGTACCTGGTGGAGGGGGAGGGGGGAGGGGTGGAGGTGATGCTGATTGGTGCTCCTGGCTGAGAGGGAGGAGATCCCAGTATGATGTCATCAGAGTCAACTGTGGAGAGAGAAGCAGTTCGATCTCCTCTTCAAAGGAAATGGTTACATGTTTCCTGTATTTGCTGTGTTCTGTCAAGTTTATTGTTTTTTACAAGGATTAAATTAAGGAAATACAAAAACTTTATAATCAATCAACAATTCAATAATAGATTAAGGAAATCTTAATAATTATAACCAAATCCAGAGGGCAGAGGGAGGTGAAGGGGGAGGAGCTGGAGGGAGGAGGTGACAGGTGAGTCTGGTCTACCTGAGGTGGACCGGAAGTTCTGCTCCACGATGCCGACCTTCACCAGCTGAGAACACACACAAATACAGAACCTCAGTTTGATCTGGAACACCTGACGCCTCAACACAGCACTGCAGTACTACTACACCGTCAGGATGCACGATACAGAACCAGTACTGCAGTACTACTACACCGTCAGGATGCACGATACAGAACCAGTACTGCAGTACTACTACACCGACAGGATGCACGATACAGAACCAGTACTGCAGTACTACTACACCTACAGGATGCATGATACAGAACCAGTACTGCAGTACTACTACACCGACAGGATGCACGATACAGAACCAGTACTGCAGTACTACTACACCGACAGGATGCACGATACAGAACCAGTACTGCATTACTACTACACTGACAGGATGCACGATACAGAACCAGTACAGCAGTACTACTACACCGACAGGATGCACGATACAGAACCAGTACTGCAGTACTACTACAACAACCTACAACAACAGGGTCCACGATGCAGAACCAGTACTGCAGTACTACTACAACAACAGGGTGCACAATACAGAACCAGTACTGCAGTACTACTACAACAACCTACAACAACAGGGTGCACGATGCAGAACCAGTACTGCAGTACTACTACAACAACAGGGTGCACAATACAGAACCAGTACTGCAGTACTACTACAACAACCTACAACAACAGGGTGCACGATGCAGAACCAGTACTGCAGTACTACTACAACAACCTACAACAACAGGGTGCACGATGCAGAACCAGTACTGCAGTACTACTACAACAACACGGTGCACGATGCAGAACCAGAACTACAGTACTACTACACCGATAGGATGTCGAAGACTTCTGTTGTCTGTGGCCTTTAACGAACACCATTTCCCTTAGAAAATTGCGGGTTAAAGGTCACAACTCTAGAGAAGAGTCCATGAGCGAGTCAAGTGTCTGTGGTTAGTTCCCGCCAATCAGAGTGAGACAGTCGACTGTAGTAACTGTAGCAGTCATGGTAGTAGTAGTAGCTGACAGTATTTCTTACCCCGATAAAAGGAACGAACTTCTGACAGGAGTCGTCGTCGGGGCTGCAGGAGAAGAAGATCAGAATCAAACAGCAAAACAGACCTTCAGTCAGGAAAATAATGAAACGTAGTTTTTCTCTGTAAACACGCGTTCCACAGCAATTCCTTTAATGTCCACTAGATGCTGCTGTAACCAGGTTTGCACTGAAGTGACTGTATAGAAGTGAATGTGAAAAAAGCCCAAACCAACTATTTTGTGACAACATGCAGATGAATTTCAACTCTTTCTGGTGCGAGCGGGCCTTCAGACCTTCAGTGGTTAGTGCACTGATTTAATAAGTGTGCCCCTGTTTTGTTATCAGCACGCGCACACACAGTTGCACAAGCATAGGTGTGCATTACGGCTGGGTATCATTCAAAGATTTTTGATATCGATACGATACCTCGACTTCGATACCGGTTCCTGAACAATACTTTTTTCAATACCAATTTTATTCTCAACAAACTGAGAACCGTTGTTCTTTGTATAAAGTAACTTAATAATCACATTATTATCATTAATATTGTTTATTTTTATAATGGTTCCTTTGAAAAATTCTTCTGCTTGTCAAAAAGCAAGACATATTTTCAATGTAAAGTAGGCCTATATTGTGTATCTGTTGTTTTTATTCCTCTTTCTTTAGTTTTTATAATGTCATTTCATTGTTTATTAATTCTATATATTTTATTGTTTATATGTGAATTTGTGCTCTGGCAACATTACAACCTAAACAACTTTGTCACTTACTGATCCTTCAGAAATGCTTGGGAAAACGTAGCTCGGTCAATAAAAGAGCTTTGATTCAGAAAACAGCGACGCTGCCACCAAGCTACTGAGAAATCTAGTTAAACTTGTAGCGACATTACTGCCCGGCACTGCTCGTATGGTGGGCATGTTGGAGCAGGTTCGGCGGCAGTAGGGCTCTGAGACGATGACTGCACCGGCTTTGTCTTCTTGCAGTCAAAGACGGGGCAACTTTCTGCTCTTAAGTTTATTCCATGCACAGTCAAGTGCTTCACCAGCTTTGTCATGTCGCCGCTCTCTTATCTTACGTCACAAATACTGCATCGCGCGCTGTTGCATCAAGCCTGGTGCAATGTAGCCACACTTTTGATTTTCTCCACGTCTTTTACATCCACGAGTCTCTTGCGTAACCGGCGTGAACTAGTGTTTACATCACCACAGCCAATAACAATCACTTTTAGATTTGGGCACATCAAGCATGCTGCATGCTTATTGGATAATTGACGCTAACAAGAACCTTTAGTTATCAAAATTTGGTACCAAAAGACAAGACATTTTTTGATACTCGATGGTACTGAGGCAATTTGGTCGGTGCCTAAAAAGTATTGAACTCAATACCCAGCCCTAGTGTTCATAATGCAATACAGTCCAGGAGACGGCAGATGGTGGTAACACAAATCTGTAATTTTAGCACTGATCGACGTTGCAGGAAAACATGGATATAACAACAGAGGTTTTACAATATTTTAACACTTTCAAACAGAACCACATTTGTTCATCAGGAAACCCCACTTAGACTTAACATGTTGCTGACAGCTTCTTTGTCCAAATCAGGACAAATAATTATTATTGCAGCAAGTGGTACAGCTAAACCCAAAAGACCCAAAATGTCTCTTCAGACACACGTGGGACACAGAGACGCTACAGAGAAGCTCTTATTTACACAGGTTAGAGCTCCCAGCCAGGAAACAGGCAGCAGCACCGGACCCAAATCCTCATGTTGGTTTGAGAACCAAGAGTATATAGTATAGGAGTATAAATTGGCCATAAAACGTCAAAGGAGGAGAAGGCAGCAGATGAAGTGGGAGGTACAAATCAAAATGCAATAGAGAAAACATTTTAGTGATTTTTATACTCTGCCCTCTGGAGAAGGTGAGAGGAAGTTCACCAACAGGCTGCTCCAGAATGGCTGTCGGACGGTCGGATGAATTTCTGAAATTTTGGTCGGCCGTCGCCGGGCTATCGCACAGTTGAAGCAGAACCACGAGTGGATTTCCCACGATCAGTTCCTTCTTTTCTCACAGCGCCTGCGTAAAGTGGTGAACGGCATCTCAAAGTGCCATGGCAGCACAACGCTCGCTATCAAGTTAACAGTCTGTACAGTAAAACGTAGCTAGTTTACCTCCAATTCTCTCAAAAGTGCAAAATTAACATGCCATGCTGTCCACATCTTCCCAGCTCCCTGGTCGATAAACACCAGCGCCTCTTTTTTTAGACGTTTCAGCACACAGCTGATCAGGGCAGCAGTTTTATACAGTGTGAGCACCTCCATCGTGAGCTTTGGCTTTACATCGCAGATGATTTACTCGTACAGTGTGAGTTGGAATGAAACAACAACATTATCTCATTGTTATTGTAGACTTATGAAAATGCTGGTGAAGGATCTCAAAGTAGTCTGATGTTACGGAGCCTGAAGCAAATTTGTGTTATTTGATTATTTTCTCTACAGCTACAGGGAGGTTGTGCTGATGTCACGGCGCTTGGCAGACAGTCCCATGAAAAGCGGTCCTCTCTGTAATTCTGTAAAATGTTGATAGAGGTGAAGGGGAAGGCTGAAGGTGGGATCCTGAGTGAAGACATGTACCTCTTGTGTTTGCAGGTCAGCATGGCCTCTGAGATGGGACACAGGTGAGAAACAGCAGCTCCGCTCAGGTACTGAGACACTCGACCTGCTACACCGACAGGATCTGTCAAACAGAAGGAGAGCTTCAGATAGGGACGTTTCCATCACTGAGCTTAACCTGTCAAACACTAAGACAATGAAGAAAATGAACACCACTCCTGCTTTCTCTGTGGAACTGCCACTATTCTGCGTCCTACTGGACAGACAAACTAACATTACTGCAAAGCATGTGAAACATATTGTGATGTTGCGCTTCAGTTGGCTCAAGTTAGATAACGTTAGCTCACCAGCTAAGGCCGAACTGTTGCTAACGTTATCCAGTGCAAAATACTATTGTTGTTTGGCTTTCCACATTACTTCACCAGCTAAAGCGACCCATATTAATATAACATGTGGGCTAAACGCCGTCAATGCAAACTCGTCAGGGGTGAAAAGGTGATTCTGATGCGACCGAGCCGACCAATCACACTTCTTGTGGCTACGCATAGGTTTCACGCAGAAGTACAAATCAGACAGACTGTCCACGCTGTCCTCTCCCACAAAAATCAGAACTTAGATAAAAAGGAATTATCTTCTTCAAAGACGGCAAGCGTTTGGCCGCATTTTGGACTTAATATCTCAAAAATGCACTTTACAAAACTTCAGCCAACTCTGGTCGAGCGATGGACATAAACTGACCCATAGTCTGGTCCATTTCCTGACGGCCGTACAGCGTTTAGGACACAGCATGTTCACCTGGTGGCGGCGCTGCAGCACAAAGTGTATCCTTTACTGCTACAGGTGTTAGTGATGTTAATAAGAGCAGCGACAGTGAGGGGTCCATAATCATACTCTCATTTAGTTGTTCTCATACAGGCAGAAGACTGAAGGTTAACTGCCAGTTACGGTTTATATTGCGGTTCAGTGGATTAATAACAGTGAATAAATGACTTTTATCAAACTTTGAGATTCCCAAATATTTCCACCCTTAGAACATTCTGCAAAGCAGCAGGAGCCCAACCTTTAGGGGACCCTGAGCACCACAGCAGACAGGAGTCTGAGAGAAGGTCCTGCAGGTATTTAGGTTCATTTGATTCTCTTTGTTCTGTTCCGAGAAAATGTGTCCTGATGGAGGCCTCATGAGATAAGGTCATAAGTTTCAGTGGAATAAAAGGTCAGGGGTCACTGTGACCCTGAGAGCCCCCCCGTCCCACTCCTTCAGGGAACATAAAGGTACCGAGAGGAGGAGGCTCCAGACGTCCAAACAGCTCCCTCCAGCCGGCGTCCATGAACAGGCTGTTGAATTTACTGTCCAGAGCAGCCAGGTACTTGGCCAGCGGGTGGGCTCCTGGTGAGGTAATAAACAAAAGGAGCGTCATGGGAAGGTTAATGGGGGGCTGGTTTATATTTTCAGAAGATACAGTATTGTGAGCCGAGTCCCTGCGTACCAACGGGCAGGATGAGGAAGCGGACATAGTTCAGCCAATCAGGCGTCTTGCTGGCCAGCTGCTCTACAAAGCAGCAGAGGGCAGTGCTGAGGTAGCTCTGATCTCCACCCACCGCCACTTTCATGGGGGGCGGCGTCTGGGAGTTACAGTTACAGCTGGAAAAACCATTAGTGTGTTACTGTTATGAGTGTATTGATCATAAACTGATGAGACTGTAGCAGCAGCTGATCAGAAGTTCATCATCCTACTGATGAGTGAAAGTGTGGATCAGATGATTCTTACAATCTCTGGATGCGGCTGATGATGGCGCTGAAGGCGGCCTGAACGTCAGCTGCTGAGACGGTGCAGACGATTGGCTGATCGAAGAGGAGCTCCGACAGATACTGAAGAGAGAGAGAGAGGGGGGCGAGAGACATTTGCTTTCCTTTCATCACAGTGTAACGATAGCATACAGACGGACAGATGGACAGACCTGTCCCTGCCAGTCTGTTGTGTTGATCAGGATGATGGAATCGGGAATCTGGTCATCAGAGAACAGGATGTGGTTCAGCTGATCCAGGACCGACTTCCTAGCAACCTGAAGACACACAACACACATCAGTACATCTGTGTGTGGACCACAGTCTGTATAAACGACGTGGGTGTAGCCGCCGGATAGCTCCCGTTGGTTTGTGGAACGCCATTTTGAATCCTCAAGTTTGGCATTTTGGCAGCCACCATCTTGATTTTTTGCAACCAGGCACCAGGCGTGACCACATTTGAAGGAGACGCTAGCTAGCTTGGTTAGCAGGGTGCATCCGTTATTCATCTTAATATCTTGTGATGTTAGCTGGGATGCTAATTTTAGCTAGCGACAAACAGTCTTAAAAGCAGCCGACTCCTGATGAGCTTTTTCAGCGGCGCTGGTTAAATGTACACAGAGCAGCGGGTAAGAGTCCTGATTGACAGGTCGCCATGGTAGTGACTAGTCAATCAGCTTGTAGCCCCGCCCTAAAGCCTCCCCTGCTTCCTGGTCTCTGTTCCTCTAAATGGGACCATAATTTACTAAATGAACATCATGCTGTGTTGAAGAAGACTAGAAACTAGAGACTGAGACCAGAAACTCATCAGGAAAGTGTTTACTGAGGGAATAAATCAGCTGACAAGTAGAAACATTTTCTTTCTGCAGCCGCTGGAGTCGCCCCCTGCTGGCTGCTGGAGAGGACGCAGGTTTAAGGCGCCCCCTGCTGGCCGCTGGAGAGGACGCAGGTTTAAGTCGCCCCCTGCTGGCTGCTGGAGAGAACGCAGGTTTAAGTCGCCCCCTGTTGGCTGGTAGAGAGGACGCAGGTTTAAGGCGCCCCCTGCTGGCCGCTGGAGAGGACGCAGGTTTAAGTCGCCCCCTGTTGGCTGCTGGAGAGGACGCAGGTTTAAGGCGCCCCCTGCTGGCCGCTGGAGAGGACGCAGGTTTAAGTCGCCCCCTGCTGGCTGCTGGAGAGGACGCAGGTTTAAGTCGCCCCCTGCTGGCTGCTGGAGAGAACGCAGGTTTAAGTCGCCCCCTGCTGGCCGTTAGAGAGGACGCAGGTTTAAGTCGCCCCCTGCTGGCCGCTAGAGAGGACGCAGGTTTAAGTCGCCCCCTGCTGGCTGCTAGAGAGGACGCAGGTTTAAGTCGCCCCCTGCTGGCCGTTAGAGAGGACGCAGGTTTAAGTTGCCCCCTGCTGGCTGCTAGAGAGGACGCAGGTTTAAGTCGCCCCCTGCTGGCCGCTAGAGAGGACGCAGGTTTAAGTCGCCCCCTGCTGGCCGCTAGAGAGGACGCAGGTTAAAGTTACTTTTGCATTGGCTTTCTATGCTACTGTCCTGACTCTGGAGTGTGTTGCAGAAATTTCTGATGATTGTGTGATGAGAACGCAACATGCTTTGGAACTGTTTTTTTTTTTCTAAATGGACTTTTGGTGTTTGTGACACGTGAACCAGTCTTTAGTTTCTCACAGTGCAGAAAACCTGAAAAAGTTCCAGTTTGCAGTTTTGTTCTGGATATTTCCTGCTGTTCTATCGCTGCTTCCAGATTCATCATTCTGCTCATTTCTCTTTTAATTTAAACATTTACTCAGCAGCTTCTTCCCTGAGGTCTGTTCACGTGTCGAGATACAAGAATTCAGACAGATTTTAAACAGATAATCACAGAGTTTCTGCTTTTATTCTGAAAGGTCTACTCAGACGTTTCACCTGTCTCACCTGGGGAGGAGGCATCCTGCAGTCCACCGACGTCTCACTGTCCACGCTGCTGGTTCTGTCTGTCCCTCTAGAGTTCTGCCTGTCCTTCATGGAGACGCTCCAAGGATGGCGAGACAGCTGACTTCCTGTCTTACTGCAGAGAGAGCAGACAGACAGCTGACGTCCTGTCTTGTGTGTAGGTGTGTGTGTGTGTGTGTGTATGTGTGTGTGTGTATGTGTACCTCGGTGACATGTGTGTTTGGGACTCAGTTTTACAGAGTTTGGCGGCCGGGCCTGCATCTGTTCCCACAGCAACGTCCTCGACTTCCTGTGAAAAGAAGAAGAAGTGTGAATGCTTGTGTGTGAGTGTGTTGGCACTGATAGACAGTAGGTCCCTGGTCCACACTCACCCCGGGGACGGCCTCCTCTCCTCTGGACTCCTCGGGGCCTCGAGGCCCCTGAGCTGCAGGACGCTCTGGAGACTGCCGCTCTGCTGCCTGTTAATGACAACAGAGAGTGGTTACAGCCTCTGGCCTGCAGGGAGCAGCAGAGTCTGTGGCTGACTCTTCTTCTGCACCAAAAACATTCACACATTCACATTCATCTCTTTTCAGATAAGCAGTAAAGCCTGTAAGGGTTGTCCCCCCTAAACCCTGAGCCCTGAACCCTCACAGGCTTTACTGACGTCAAGAAAGAGGCTGCAAGGGCTGAAAATGCTGTAAACAGGAACGGGACAGAAATTTGCCACTTTGTCAGATCTGAAAAGAGAGAGGTTGTTACATCACATCCTGCCTACAAGCAAAATCACAACAACAGTACAGAGTGTCTGCGGCCATTTTGTGGCCTGATGAGGCTTTAATGTTAGTGAAACATCAGGAACGACTGATGGATGAATGTAAAGTTTACGAGGGTGGAGCCAGAGGAAAGCTAAACCTAAATCAAAGGGTTCAGTTTATGTACGGTGGCCTATTCAGGACATATCAGACCAAAGCCACATTCAGACTTCTTGATTTCGTTAACAGATGTATAATGTTCAGAGCTCATGTTGCAGAAACAGAAATCCACAGGACTGATGATGCTGATTCCCTTTAACTCTTTCTCTCCAGGTCAGTGGCATTTTGAAAACACTGTGAGCGTGTTTGATCAGAGTATCCGTTGTACTCACTGCTGCAGTCTGTTCTTTCTGTTGGCCCCTCTGACTGTTCGTACTCCCGATCTCAGTCTGAGAGCTCGACTGAGAAATCCCCTCGAAGAAAGGCCTGTGGGTCAGACGTCACACACAGAGAGGCACCTTTACAGCGACAGCATCAAATACAAGCAAACACGTAACACCTGTGGCTGGTCCTGCACCTGATCTTACTAAAATCACACTGAAATTGTCCATTTTAATATATCAATGTGACAAAGTGTCAACTTCAAATGTTTAAATAAATAAATAAATAAAAATCAGCGGTTCATGTTTGATTCTGGAGATACATTACGGAAAATGTTGCTGTGTCACATTTTAAGACATCAGGTGAGTGTTACATCCTGAATACAGTAGAATTATCCCTGGCATGGCGTTGGATTAATGCGATCATATCAATGTTTCCATCATCATTGAACTAATTAACTTTGCTGAACGCCAGCTGCGCTGTGTGTTCACATCCTGTCGCTCTGCAACACCCAGACAACTTCACATGTTGTCGTCATGCTTCTCTGTGACCAGTGATGTGATTGGCTGACAGTGTATTTAACACTGCTGATACATGATACATGATGGGAATGTGTTTTACATCCACAGTTCTTTCTGTACAGACTGTGACACAGTGGAAGTCGGGTAGGTGTATTTAAGTACCCCTGATCCAAACCCAGGTGAAAAATAACTGGGATCCTCCAAAGACCACTTCCTAACCAGGATCCTGTGCATGTGAACATCTTTCATCTGCATTTACAAAATACACGAACACTTCACAAACTGTTTTGTGTTGCTGCTGAGAATCAGACCAGGGTCTAACTGTTCAGCTCGGTGACAGCTGATTGTAAAAGTCTGGACTGAAATCAGTTTACCTCAGTGGAACTGCTGGATCAGATGACTGATCCACAGAGGCAAAGTACATTAGCATGAGGCTTTAGCTCAGAGTTTAACTTTGATGGGATTAAGTGGGAGATCCGGGAGTCCAAAATGGAGGAAGCTATCATGTTAGCTATGTGTTTTCTCAAACCCTCTCTGGTCGAGAACCAACTGCTCCACAACAGATGCAGCCCGGCCTGCTCTCAGGCGTCACACAAGAGTTTTTAAACTGTCTCTGATAACCTCGGAATATTTACTGGTCCAACCAGTAAATCTGAAGCCAGCAGTGATTCATTATCTGAACATCCACGAGTCAGGAGTCAGCAGTCAGGAGTCGGGATTCAGGAGTCAGGAATCAGAAGTCAGGAGTCAGCAGTCAGGATTCGGGAGTCAGGAATCAGAAGTCAGGAGTCAGGAATCAGGAGTCAGCAGTCAGGATTCGGGAGTCAGGATTCAGGAGTCAGCAGTCAGGAGTCAGCAGTCAGGAGTCGGGATTCGGGAGTCAGGAGTCAGCAGTCAAGAGTCAGGAGTCAGGATTTGGGAGTCAGCAGTCAGGAGTAATGATTCGAGATTTGGGAGTCAACAGTCAGGAGTCAGCAGTCGGGAGTCAGGAGTCAGGAGTCGGGAGTCGGGATTCGGGATTCGGGATTCGGGAGTCAGGAGTCAGGAGTCAGGAGTCAGCAGTCAGGAGTAATGATTCGAGATTTGGGAGTCAACAGTCAGGAGTCAGGAGTCAGCAGTCGGGAGTCGGGATTCGGGATTCGGGATTCAGGAGTCAGGAGTCAGCAGTCGGGATTCGGGATTCGGGAGTCAGGAGTCAGGATTCGGGAGTCAGGAGTCAGCAGTTGGGAGTCGGGATTCGGGAGTCGGGAGTCAGCAGTCAGGAGTCAGCAGTCAGGAGTCAGCAGTCAGGAGTCAGCAGTCGGGAGTCAGCAGTCGGGATTCGGGATTCGGGAGTCAGCAGTCAAGAGTCAGGAGTCAGGATTCGGGAGTCAGGAATCAGGAGTCAGGAGTCAGCAGTCGGGAGTCGGGATTCGGGATTCGGGATTCGGGAGTCAGGAGTCAGGAGTCAGGAGTCAGCAGTCAAGAGTCAAGAGTCAGGAGTCAGGATTCAGGAATCAGGAGTCAGGATTCAGCAGTTGGGAGTCGGGATTCGGGATTCAGGAGTCAGGATTTGGGAGTCAGCAGTCAGGAGTAATGATTCGAGATTTGGGAGTCAACAGTCAGGAGTCAGCAGTCGGGAGTAATGATTCGAGTTTTGGGAGTCAACAGTCAGGAGTCAGCAGTCGGGAGTAATGATTCGAGATTTGTGAGTCAACAGTCAGCAGTCAGCAGTCAGCAGTCAGCAGTCAGGAGTCAGCAGTCGGGAGGCGGGAGTCGGGAGTCGGGATTCGGGATTCGGGAGTCAGGAGTCAGCAGTCAGCAGTCAAGAGTCAGGAGTTGAGAGTCGGGATTCGGGATTCAGGAGTCAGGATTCGGGAGTCAGCAGTCATGAGTAATGATTCGAGATTTGGGAGTCAACAGTCAGGAGTCAGTTGATGGGTCGGGAGTTGGGATTCGCGGGTCAGGAGTCAGGATTCAAGATTCAGGAGTCACGAGTCACGAGTCAGCAGACAAGAGTCAGGATTCAGTAGTCAGGTATTCTCTGTAGTGTAACACAATGAAAACGTGTTTCTATTGCCTGACTTGAGTTTGGGTTTTGGTGTGCTGATGATGCTGTCGTTGTCGTCCAGCTCCGGGCCGCTGTCACTCGGGTTGTAAACCTCCAGACTGTCATACAGGAGGTCCAGGTCCTCCTCAGCCTCCTGACTCTGACCCACTGGATCTGAGTCCAGAACCTGCACGACACAAGCTGATCAGCCGGGATGACAGAGATGAGTCTTCTCAGTAATCTCAGGTTGTTTGAGGTGACACACAGATTTACAGGATGTTAGTTAACATAGCCGGATTAGGTTTTCTTCAGGGTTTCACTGCTTCAGCCGGTATAGCCCCATCACAAATATATTAAATATATTTATCCCTACAGGCGCATCTCAGAAAATTAGAATACTGTGAAAAGGTTCATGTTTCAAAAAGTTAAACTTTCATACATTCTAAATTTGTTAAATATAAAGGCCTTTTTTTGTTTTAACCTTGATTATTACGGCTTACAGCTTATGTAAATCAAAAATCCATATCTCAAAAGTATTCACTAATATATTTACTTTTTAATTAAATTACGGGAAGAAATTTTTCCGGGATATTCATATTTTCTGAGATGCATCTGTATTTAATTTAAAGGTTATTAGTACTTTTGGCACACAAACCATTAGGACCGAATCAGCTGAACACACATCACCAAATTACCATCAGTTTTTGGGCTGAAAACGGCCACGACTGATCCGATTTAGCCTTGGAGGCAACATTTGTTGAGGAAAGTTAGATGAGAAGGTGAAACAAACCAGAGAGAACGTGTTAGTCAGGAAGCTTTAGAGCTGCTGGGAGGTGGGTTTTGGATCCTTTGGACAACGACAGGCTAGTTTTTTCCCCCCGTTTCAAGTCTTGACGTTAAGCTTGGCTAACCAGCTGCTGTACAGACAGGAGAGTGGCATCGATCTGAACATTCACTTCTACCATTTCTATCCTAGATCCATTTCAATTCAGTTCAATTCAATTTTATTTATATAGCGCCAAATCACAACAACAGTTATCTCACAGCGCTTTTCATAAAAGAGCAGGTCTGGTATTATGAGTGGCCCCTCTACAGAAACGGCTCTTCTGTCTGCAACAGAAGCCCTAAGGTCAGCTAAAGCTGCAGCCCAATCCTCGGTTCTTCTCCTGCTTGACCTCAGCTGCCTTTGACAGAGTCAATCACAGGATCCTGCTATCTGCACTCTCAGCAATGGGCATCTCGCGCAGAGCACTCCTGTGGTTCGAATCCTACCTCTCAAGGCGTTCCTACAATGTTTTGTGGCAAGGACAAGGTCCTCTCACTGCCTCTCCACACAGGGGCCGCAAGGCTAGGTGCCCATTCTCTTCTAAATTTACACCATCTCACTGGGGTCGATCATTCGATGCCATGGCTTCTCTTACCACTGCTACGCAGACGATACACAAGTCTACCTATCCTTCCCGCCAGACGACCCCACTGTCTCGGCGCGGATCACAGACTGTCTCTCTAACATACCTGCATGGATGAAGGCTCGCCACCTTCAACTAAACCTCTCTAAGACTGAACTCTTGGTCATTCCAGCCAAACAATCTATCCACCATAACTTCAAACTACAAATTGCCTCCTCAACCATCACTCCAACCAAGGTGGTGAGAAACTTGGGCGTCATGATTGATGACCAGCTGTGATGAAACCAAAAGGACCAAGGATCAAATTCAAGTTATTAATGCGCAATAAAGAGCGACTACTGGGTCTGCACCCATCTACCTAACTCCATGATACAAGCTCCTGAAAACTCATCTCTTCAGAGAACACTTCCTCTTATAACACCTTTAACCTCTAACCTCTAACATGCACTTCCTGTGCTCTTCTTCTGCTTCTCTCCTTACAATTCTCTTGTATTGATTGCGCTATTCGTTAACTCTAACTTCTTCCCCCAGGTATTTACCCCATTGATGGCGTACGACCTAATAGCTCTTACTGCTGCCAAATGAGTAAATGCAACTAACTCTATTCAAGAGAGAAAATATATTTCATTAAAGAACTACTTATTTAATAGTGAATGAACTTGCCTTCTTTGTACACATGACACAGTGACAAAAACATGATATTAAATTAAATTAAATTGTAATTCATATAAATAAATACATATTTGATGAGCTTATTAACATTTTTATCAATTTAGTGTTTGGTGCCGCCCCCGTCCGCAGCGGACATTACGCCCTTTAATAATTAGGATGATCCTTGAAATGCATGCAGACAGATTTTTTTATACAAACCTCATCAGTAACTTTGAATCTTTTCAGCAGAGCCACAAACTTCTGTTTGAAGTTCGGTTGCTGAACAACAGAAACACAGAGAAACAGAAGCAAAGTGAGACAGAGTTAAAGAAGTTTGTACCGTTTCATTTGGTCAAACTGCAAGCATTTTCATATCCTAAACAATGCAATGTTACAATAATTCTTTTTCATTGACACACTACAATAAATGCTGCTGTATCTGCTGAGCAGACTAACGTACAATGTAACTGATGTTCTGTGGCAGGACGTGCTGCACGCAGTCTGACAGGTGTGTTCCTAGAAAACAGCGTATGATTAGTCCTCACCTGCGTCAGGGAAGCTGTTCGGATCATTTTCCTGCGAGACTTCTTCGTCTTTCCCTTGACGTCATCATCATCATCATCATCCAAGTCCTTTGAAACAAATAGATGAGATGTTATGAATGTGAATCTCGATACGATTCAGAAACGTTTGCTAGCTTAGCCACATTAGCAGAGCCGCTATTGGTCCATCACTTCGCTTTAGAGTAAAATATCTTGGTAAGTGCTGGATGATCCTGGTTTAGAGATTCATACTCTAGAGAGGATGAATCCTAAAGACTTGGTGAACCTCTGACACCAACAGGTCCATCACTTCAGGTCATTACAGTCAGGGCTCTAAAACAGCCTCTGCTCAGATGAATGCTAACAGAGCTTGCTAATATGTTTGCTAAATGTTAAATGTGTTAACATTGTGTGTTAAATGCTTTACTGCTGCATAGTAACATACTGAAACTCCAAATATTAGTGACCAAATGTTGGCATAACATATCAACATGTAAAATATGAATATATACACTCACTGGCCACTTTATTAGGTACACGTGTTCAATTGCTAGCTAATCAGCCAATCACATGGCAGCAACACAGTGCATTCAGGCATGTAGATGCGATCAAGTCAACTTGCTGAAGTTCAAACGGAGCATCAGAATGGGGAAGAAAGGTGACTTATTTAAGTGAGCTAATTGTGGCATGGTTGTTGTGGCCAGACGGGCTGGTCTGAGTATTTCAGAAACTGCTGATCTGCTGGGATTCACACGCACAACCATCTCTAGGGTTTACAGAGAATGGTCCGAAAAAGAGAAAATATCCAGTGAGCAGTTGTGTGGACGAAAATGCCAGCAGGATAATGCACCATGTCACAAAGCTCAAATCACCTCAAACTGAACAGTTTCTTGAACATGACAATGAGTTCACTGGACTCCAATGGCCTCCACAGTCACCAGATCTCACGGGATATTCGCATCATGGATGTGGACCTGCAGCAACTGCGTGATGCTATCATGTCAATATGGACCAAAGTCTCTGAGGAATGTTTCCAAAAGCTTGCTGAAAGTACGCCACGAAGAATTAATTCTGAAGGCAAAGGGGGTCCAACTCGGTACTAGCAAGGTACCTAATAAAGTGGCCAGTGAGTGTATATCAAAATGTCGTCATGCTGATGTTAGCGTTTACTTAAATTACAGTTGAGGCTGACAGAATAAAAGAGGATCCTGTGTGACCGTATAGAGCTGAGCCTTACAGTCTTAGTCTGAGGGTCCCAAAAAGGCCACCATACAGAAGATGAACAGAGGATTTGGGAAACAACACGAGCTGTCATCTGGCACCATCCTCCGGACAAACTTTAAATTGCTAAGTGATAAAGATCTAAGAATAGAGACGTCTCCATGTCTCATCCAACTGTTTGGATTTCTGAACATCACAGCCTGAGAGGGGCGCCGGAGCGGCTGCAGGGTTTCACAGTTAAAATTAATTGATCATCAAAGGAGTCATCAATCTATCTGTAATGAGTTGACTTACTGATTAATACACTAAAGGCTTTTTGTTTAAATTGTGAAAAACAGTAACAACGGCTGCATTCCATTTACAGGTGAGACGGGTGCGTGGTGTCAGCTATGCTGAGCTGTCAGTCACCTGAGGTGGGACTGCGTCATCACTTCCTTCCTGTTCAGAGGAGAAGCTGTCGTCATCGTCCTCCCAGTAGTTCTCCATGTCGGGAGAGCGATCTGTAAATCACCAACAGCTCTCACTGAAAGAACCTGAAACACTGAAATGCTCTGATAAAGGATTTGTAACATCTTCTCGTCTCTTTCAGTTCACACGGCAGGTGAAGCAGCATACATGCTGCTGAACGTCAGTATTTAGACACTGGAGATGAAGAGAGGCTTCACAGCGACTCTCCTCTGCACTGATATCAGACTAAATATGCTGAGAAACCATCAAACATGCAGCTGCTGTTATTTTAAAGCAGAGGTGTTTTGCAGTCAAACTGACTGGAGGACTGAAATGTTCCTGCAGCCTCGGCGTGCTGTGCAGCTGTAACACGAAGAAACAAATGGATCAGAGAGGCTCGGAGGTCTGTGGGGGGAAGGCAGGGGTGAGGGGAGGGGTGAGGGAAGGCGGCCACAGAGGCTACTACTGTCAAGGAGCTCATGTGTACTTTGGTACCGACCAATCAGGAGCCAGTCTGTAATGAGCGCCAGATGCTGTCAGACAGAGAGAAGGTCGGCTTCATTGTTCTCCTACCTGAGGACTTGGTCTTGTTGCCGTGGTGACCGCCTGCGTCCTCCTGTTCGATTGGCTGGCTGGAGAGGGAATGGACGCTCAGCTCCGCCGCACGCATCGAAGCATCCTTCAGGTTGCTATGGAGACCGAGGACGTGGGCTCGGTCTGTCGGATACTGCATCACCTGAGACAGGACGCACACACACACACACACACACCCGCCCACACACACCAACACACAGAAGTGATGCTGTCACCGTCTAAAGAAAAGATCAGGGACGTGCTGCAGAGAGCTGAGGACGGTCAGATCTGCAGCCCGATCTTCACAAGACACACTTCAGACAGTTTGCAGCTGTTTTCACAGATTACTGTGGTTTGTGTGTTTTGCAGCAGGTTGTTGTTCACTTCTGATGGATGTGGAACTGATACAGACTTTGACTGTTTGGACCATCTCATTTTTAGTTATCTGGCCTTAACAGGCCCTCCAGCCATGATCGCAACTATTGACACAAATTCATGAAATCCCAGAGAATTCAACAACTTTCCTGCAAATGTGACCTATCATCCCACAAATCGTTGTCATATGTCAGCTGTAATGGCAGAAAATTGTTTCTCCTTACATCTAATCTTTTATGCACGTACGTCTATTTTTACTACTATTATTATTACTATCCTTGTTATGTCATAGATATATATACACATTGTTTTTTATCCTTAACCTTATTGCAGGGTTCAGGTCAGAGCTGTGAGATTGTTTTCCTCTCTTGTCGTTCCTCTTCTCACCTTGAATCTTCATTCAAGGCCTGGAGAGGATCTCTGTTCCCCAAAACATAGAAACCTGGACTGTCTAAATGATTATGCATCCCTTTTCTGGGGGCCAGATGCTCGAAGCTGCCCCAGGCAACAGGTCTCTGGACCAGCTGAGTTTCTACTGCAGTACTTCTCTGTCATTCTCTTTTATTTAGACATTCTTTAAAGACAACAGTTTGCTGTAACTCAATTATTTGCTCAATCCCTCACCAGCAATTTCTACGACATCAGCAAACTCGCTTCCTTGTTTAGAAGACGCTGCAGACATGTGCGACTCCAACGTCTCACATTTACCTACAACAATAACAGCAAAGCGCCGTGAAGACCAGGATCCAGATGTTCTTCACCAAAGGAGGAAGCTGTTCTGCAGAACGTGCAGTGTCGTGGTCGAACATAAAGGAAATCAACACTTTGAGAGAGAATGTCAGACACACATGGAGGACGTCAGACGAGACACCGAGACACAGGCTGCTGCATCCCGGTCAGCTGGTTTAAATATGCAGGGTTGGGGTCAGGCCCGCCAAGTCCTGGAGGGACAGTTGACTAAAGTTAAAATATCACATTTACCTCTGCAGTTTTCACTTATTCCCACAATTTCATCGGCAAAAACGCCCAAGAACATCACAACTTTCATCGCAATTGTTTTAGATCAACAAAGAGGTGCTCTGGCTCTAAAGGAACTGGGAACCTTGAAGCAGTAGTTCTGAGGTCTCTGTCCAAAATGTGTGTTACTACAGTATTTCACAGTCACAGGGGAGGTTCACCTGGTTACTCACAGTCTAGTTTTTCCAGTATTATTGTGTAACAAGATGATTATTGAAAGGATATGCTTGATAAAATATATACCTGTTTATCTATGTTTGAGTGAAAGGTTTTAATTCATGTTGATAAATCAGATTTAAAATCAGCTGGTTTAAATAATCACAATGGCAATGCTAACATGCTGATGTTTAGTAGGTACAATGTTCACCATCTTAGCTTAGCTGTTAGCATGCTAACATTAGCAGTAAACACAGCGTACAGCTGAGGCTGATGGGAGTCATCAGTTCTGCAGGTATGTGTTCTGAAACCAAAGTGTTGGCAGCATGAACATGTTGACCTGATGATGGCGCTGGATGTAAAGTTCTTACAGTTCATCCTGAGGGGGACAGGAACGTTTCAGTCTGAACCAAACAGGTGGACAGACTGAGGCAGCCACACCTGTCGTACCTCGGCCATGTTGATGACTCCCACTGCGAGGGTCTTGTAGCCCAGGATGGTTCGGTTCTTGTACCTCTTCCTCCTCTGCAGCATCACATGCAGACGGTTCACATCTCGCTTCAGGAAGTGAGGATACTGAAAGACAGAGGGACACGTGCAGCTTTCCATGAGGGCAGAAGGAACAGGTAGGAAGTGTGTGTACAGTGGTGGTGATGGCGCAGTGGATAAGACACACACCTTTGGTGTGAGAGTCCACTGTGACACACCAATGTGTCCCTGAGAAAGACACCTAGTGGCTCCAGAGGCGTGCGACATGTATAGCAATTGTGTTTCAAATATTTTATTGTGAAGCTTGAAAATACTGAGTTCTTGTTATGGATACCAAGCAAGAGACAAACGGGCCCACAAATAAAAAAAATTGAACCAATAAATCTGCCCACGGGAAGAAGCTATCAATATAGGTAGGCTAATTAGTCTCTTGCCCCCCCCATCTTGCTGAGAAGCAGATACATAGTAATTGTAAGTCGCTTTGGATAAAAGCGTCAGCTAAATGAGTAAATGTAAATATAATCCTCTCTTATGACGAAGTTCCATTGAAACCACTACGACTTGTCCTCTGGGGAGCAGGACGAACCGAAGGAAGAAGAGTTTTTTATAACGTCATTAATGTGCGTTAAATAAGTAATTAAATGTGTGACCTGCAGTGAGAAGGTGAGCTCCAGGTCTGTTTCCATCAGTCCATCCGGAGGAAGAAGGTACTCGTTGGATCTCAAAGTCCGCTTCGAACCCTGAGAGACGGACATGAAGACAGATACAGGATCAGACCATTTTTATCAGACTTTTATCAAGATACTATGTGCCAGCACTGTGGAAAAAGGATTTTGTCACATGATCTAAGTTTTGGAACTACAGCAGACATAATGAATGGAAACAACAAGGTTTATCTCCTCATGCACAAACCACTGGAAACTTGTTGTTAGTATAAAATTACTGTCAAATTATCACAATGTTTTACATTATTATTATTGTTTGTTATCTTAATAATTGTTACTTGGCAGAAGAATATGCAACTGTTGTCAAAAAGCAAGAGCTATTTTCAGTGTAAGATATATTTTGTTTTCAGTAGGGCTGGGCACGTTAACGCGTTATTATCGCGTTAACACATTGTTTAATTAACGCAGACAATTATTATTTATATTGTTATTATTATTATTTTGAAAGTCTGTTGCTCACTGGCTCTGAACACACATCCTGTCAAACCCTGGGTCACAGGAGGGGCGGGATGGTGATCAGCCTGCAAATCAGCCTCCCAAACCAGCAGCGTAGGGAGGCTTCGGCAGACCGCGCTGGATGCAGCGTGTGAAGAAGCAGATAAACAAAAGCAAGACACACGATCAAACGCCAGAGAGAGGTGGCGAGCTACACACTGCATGCTGGTTAGTGTTGGGGAAGATGTCGGTCTGAGGAACGTCCTTAAAATCACAGCGTAGTCTCTTGGCCCCGCGGGGTGATCAGACAGGGAGGAAAGTACTCCGCGAGTAATCAGCAGGCGCTCTATGGAGAGTAACCATGGCAACGGCTTCTGTGCGCTACACAGCTGTAGCCTATTTAACGTAAGTGAAAATTACAGGCTACATAACTTCACCTGACAGGCCTTCATCTTGTTTTGCGGGAATGCTCTGCCCTGTGAATTCCCTCCTGTTGATGTCCTGTTTAGTAAAACAGCAATAGATTCTGGAAACTCACAAACAGCGAGGATCTTCAAATGATTCGTGCTGCAGGTCGCGTACAGAAAGTTCAAGACAATTCAACTTCAGCGGCCAGCGGGCGTGTACGTGAGGGGAGCACTTTAGTTCACTCTGACAGCGACACTTGCTGCTGAACACAGACTGTTTCTGCTGCTCCCTGATAAAAGAAAACAGATTTATATCTGTTAACTGCTCAGGAGGAGCCTGTTCTGATGTTCTGATCGTGGCTCTGGACTCTAACTTGTTTTACCAAGCTAGATAAAGGTAACGTCCTGGCAGCAGCAAACAGCTTTGGATTAATATTTGATTTGATTACATTAATGTTTAAGTTGAGATTTATAAGAAAGGTTTTATTGCTGCTGTGTAAAGGGAATACTGCTGGGAAAAAGCTCAGCTTATTTGTTTAAAGTGTTTGCAAACCACATGTTATTGCACTTTTGTGTATATAGCAGTATATTTAAATAAAAAATGTGCAATACACTACTTTAGAATTCATTATTCAATTTTGCACGTAACTATGAGATTAAACATTTTAATCGTCCACTGTGTTGGTGAGTAGATGAATCAACAGCCAAACTACAATAACTGACTTCCTGTTGTTTTTACACACCTGCATGCACCTGTCCCTCTCACCTCACACAGCATCTTTGCCTCAGTCTCTGTATTAATGTTGTTTCATTCACAGCCTCTTTGTTAGGAGGAGTTCAAAACTGAACTTGCTCTGACCTGGATGACTAAGAATCTTTACTGACTTCATGTTGTCTTCTGATTAATGCAGGAGCGTCACTTTGTGTTGAAAAGTGGAGGGGACATAAGGGCTTATTATTTTGAAGAAGTAGTCAATCCTGAAATATATGAGTGGGGGTTCTGGGGGAAATTTTGAACACTTAATTTCTTGCATTTCTGCACCAATTTATGGTAGAAATGGTTATAGTGCAAATAACCCTATCTCAAAGCATTTCATTTTTTGCGTAATGTTTCTTGTTGCATGCTTTTTAAGAACAAATGCTTTCAAAAAGTGGTGGGGACATGACCCTGGTGTCCCCAGTGTAAATGACACATGTGGATTCATGTGTTATGCAGCAGGTTTTGCAGCTTCACAGGTGATAAAACCTTCAGTTTCCTGGAAGCATTGGTGCCTCACCTGGATCTTACCTGGATCTTAACGGCGATGACGACGGAGCTTAGCTCTCTGTCCAGCTCCTTCAGAACCATCAACCTCTTCAGAGTCAGACTACACAACCTGGGGACGACAAAGCAGACACGAAACAGAATCGGGTTAGAATCCATGGTCAACGTATTCATACACCTACGTGTGTTTTTTTGGTCCTAATTTGGATCAGGATCTTTTAATATAAAGTGTCAGCCAACCAAATGAAATGCAGTAATTGTTTATGATTTCATATTTCAGCTGCACACAGGAACATCACGTAGATTTAAATCAGTTGAACAGCTCTGCTTTCAGAAAACAGAACCTGCATCTCGGGCTCTCTTTGACTCGGCCTGTCATCATTTGCAGTCCTTTTTATGCGTCTTTCCGTCTGCGTGTCTGTGTCCAGGGGATCATTGTCTTGTCATCCATCTATGCGATTCATCCTCTGGGGACCATGAAAGTTTGTGCCAATCCCTCCAGTAGATGCCGAGATATTTCACTGGATAAGTGAAACCTTTGACCTGCTGGATGAAAGGTTGTGAGGTTTCATCCTCTGGAGACAACAAATGTCGGGACCAAATTCCCAACCAGTCTAACAGATGAACCAGTCTGGACCAAAGTTGACCCTCAGTGGCATCCTCAGAGCCAAGCGTGACTACAGCACTGATAAGTGAAGCTTCAAAGCCAGATGTTCATATGTTGAGATCTGAAGAAATGATTTCCTGATGGCCTGAAAGGGAAACCAGGGAACTGATGAGTCACTGTGTCGTCACCATATTTTCCTTACAATGGCCCCCTTCATCTCCAGAATCCCATTAGACAGAGAGGTGAAGCTGTAAATGTCAGACCTGTTACTCCTGGGATCTCATTACTGAAGGGTCAAGTTGGGACTCATCCTCCACAGCTTCCTGTCAACACCAGCCAAGAGGAGCTAATACCGGCTAATACCTGCTCACCTGCTCACCTGCAGCAGGGAGAGAAGGAGGAGGTACCCACAGTGTAAACTGTGTGTGGTGAAAATGTCTAAAAGTCTCCAGTGTTTACATTTTATTCTGGAAATATTTAGCTTTTTCTTGGTAAATTGACTGTAACATTATGACAATGTGATTTAAATATACATTATTTTCCTAAAAATACCCAGGGTTCAATCTCATCAATACTCTGTTGTGTATTCTTTATTTTCAGAGGAAAGTTTTATACTCTTCTGAAACATATTAAGCTTCAGGGAAAGTGAACAGATGCCACATATAATATATATAAAGTGAGCCAACTGTTTCGTGCATCGGCAAAATGCATCAGGATTTGTCTGATGCAGCTTAGCAGACAACATTGTTGTTACTTTTGAATCACTATGCGTTGATTAAGAAGAGCCGCTCACTGCAGTGTCAGGAACTTTTACAAGTTGGGTAACGTCTGCTGAAGTCTGAGTAACATTTGAAACTAAATACTGTATTTGTGAGGTGTTTGACACAGACAGGAAGTCAGACAGTATTTGGAGACGGACTGAAATGCTAGGATCTTTTGACACTAAGAAAAATGTAGAATAACACCTGATTTATTCTTCAAACTAACGAGCAGAGCCTGTTGTTATCTTCATTCAGCTCATCCTAAAATGGATCCATGAGGAGCGCCACGAGACACAACAAACCACCAGAACTTACACTTAAAACTGAATACCCTCTGTTGTACATAAGAATAAAACGATCTTTCATTTTCACCTAATGATTTTTGTTTATTTGTTTATTTGAAAAGGGACAATGTACACTGATCAACATTCAAGCAAATGTAAGCGTACCCGAGTTAGCCACAGGCTAGTTTTCATCGGCAGTTCCCTTGCCAGATATTATTAGGCATCCTAAAATAGTAAGCTGTTATAATACAAAAAAATACATTATACAATTGACAAAAGGTAAAAAAAATTACACTGTGTTAAAAATCACAAATAATTGAGTAAACAAGATCAAGCAGATCAAATCTGAAAATAGATGATACAGTTATTGCTGGTGGATGGGATCAATAAGCCATTTCTTAACATTACTCTTAAATGAGTAATAGGATGGAGACTCTCTAATTGATGGTGGTACTGAGTTCCACTGATGTGACACTGAAATGGAAAAGACGGCTGAATACAGTTTTTTTAAGTGGGATTGTGCAGTCCCTCCTAGCTGCACCTCTAGTAACTTTTGCAGTTGATTTAAAGTTGATGAGGCCAGACAAAGGAGGAGGAGCTAAACTGTACAAGATCTTATAAACTAAGCAGACGTTTGTGTTTTTTATGAGGTTTTCCCAACTTCCCAATAAAGCAATTACACCACCTCACTGGGTCCGATCATTCGCACGGCTTTTCTTACCACTGCAACGCAGACGATACGGAACTCTACCTATCCTTCCCGCCAGGCGATCCCACCGTCTCGGCGCGGATCACGGACTGTCTCTCGGACATGGCTGCATGGATGAAGGCTCGCCACCTTCAACTAAACCTCTGAAGACTGAACTCTTGGTCGTTCCAGCCAAGCAATCTATCCACCATAACATCAAACTGCAAATTGACTCCACAACCATCACTCCAACCAGGGTGGTGAGAAACTTGGGTGTCATGATTGATGACCAGCTGTCCTTTTCAGACCATGTTGCTGCTGTCTCTCGGTCGTGCCGCTTTGCTCTATACAACATAAGGAAAATCAAGCCCTACCTCACTCAGTACGCCACCCAGCTTCTGGTACAGGCCATGGTTATCTCTCGTCTCGACTATTGCAATGCTCTCCTAGCAGGTCTCCCAGCTTGTGCGGTGAAACCTTTACAAATGTTTCAGAACGCAGCAGCGTGTCTGGTTTTTGATCAGCCCAAAAAGATTCATGTCACTCCATTACTCAGTGACCTCCACTGGCTCCCCGTGGCCTCCAGAATCAAATTCAAGTCACTAATGCTGCATACAGAGTGACTACTGGGTCTGCACCATCTACCTAAACTCCATAATACAAACTTACGTTCCTTCTCGGCCACTACGCTCCTCCAACGAACGCCGCCTGGCTCTGCCATCCCTTCACACAAAGCGATCCCAGTCCCTGTTCTCATCTGTGACACCATGATGGTGGAACGAGCTACCACACGCCATCAGAGCAGGGGCCGTCCCTCTCTAACTTCATGAAGCTCTTGAAAACTCATCTTCCGAGAACACTTCCTCTTATAACACCTCTAACTCCTAACCTCTAACATGCACTTCCTGTGCTCTTCTTCTTCTATCCCCTACAATTATCTTGTATTGATTGCACTTTCTGTTAACTCTTGCTTCCTTCCCTCGGTATCTACCCCATTGATGTGATGTGAACTTTGAGCTCTTACTAGTATGTATTGTCAGTTGTAGATCTTTAGTTGATGCTCTGTTGATGCTTGTATGTTGTTCCTCAAATGTAAGTCGCTTTGGATAAAAGCGTCTGCCAGATGAGTAAATGTAAATGTAAGCAGTTTATACTCCTCTAGAATATGGCAATGATGGTAACGAAATGGCCTTTTGTGTAGTTTTAAGTGCTTGTTTGTATAATGATTTCAGTGGTTTTAAGGCTGTCGAGTGTGCGTTGGACCAACTTATCAGACAGTAGGTGATGTGGGAGAGAACCAATGAGTGGAAATATGACTTAGTTGCCTCAGTTGATAGGAGGTTTCTGATATACCTGAAATTAGCCAAACTGAACTTTACTTTATTACAGACCTTCTTTATGTGTGTTTTGAAGGCAAGGTTTGAGTCTAAGTGTAGTCCTAAGTACTAGTATTCTGAGACAACTTTTAGTCTGTGTCCTGAAATGAAAATGTCTTGCTCTGCGTCTATGCAGGAACCTTTGGAAAGAAACATACATACAAACATTCAGTTGCAAGCAACAGTGATTAAGCCAGGATGTGACCTTCACTAACACATCTGTTAGCTTGATTGCAACCTCTTCTGTAACTGTATAATCATCAGCATACATTAAAATATCACAATTTCCACAAACAGAAGGTAAATCATTAATGTATATGCTAAAAAGGAATAGACCAAGTATGGAGCCTTGCGGGACCCCGGCTGAAAGACATAGGGGGTTAGATTTATAGTTACCAATTTTGACGTGTTGAGAGCGGAATGAAAGATAGGATTTGATAAAACTGACCAACTCTAAAGAAAATTTGAAATTCAGTAGTTTATACAATAGGATGTAATGAATAACCGTGTCCAATGCTTTCTTTAAATCAAGGAACACGGCCCCTACAACCCCGCCTTTATCCAGTGATGCCTTAACTTTTTCTATGACATAACATGTAGCAGTTTCTGTCGAGTAATTAGCCCTGAATTCAAATTGCATTGGGTGCAGTGGAAAGGAGCTATTGTTGAGATGGTCAGTGATTTGTTTGTTAACCAGTTTTTCATATACCTTAGATACTACAGGTACAACACTGATGGGCCTGTAGTTGGAAGTCAGTAGAGGGCTCACCACCTTTGAATATAGGGGCCACAACAGCAGGCTTCCATGAATCAGGAAACCTTCCTTGAGCCAGTGAAGTATTGGTTATGTGCGTTAGTGGGGTAACTATTAAAGAACGAATCTCTTTCAGCAATCAATAACTTGAATGTTTCCCTCTGCTGCAATCTTTGCTGTGTCCTGAGTCAACGCCACTGTCTAAGAGGATTATCTCTGATTGGACGAGTTCGTTAACCCCCGCTTAGTCACACTGCTGCTAATCCACTCGCAAACAGACAGGTGAAGGGATCAGAGAGGGGGAGAAAACTAATCAGCTGTATCATGTTTCCCTTCTTTCATCTGGCTTTGATTGGCTGCTGTAATGTGATGTAACCAGTGATGTCATGAGTCCAAAGTTGTCTCTGTCTCTCCCGTGTGATCTGTGTCTGATCTAAAGTCCATTACGATGCTGATGATCCAGGGTCAATGCAGATCAGGTCAGAGTCTTCCAGCTCTCCTAAGCATTCTGGGAGATGTAGTTTCTCTATGTTTATACAAACTCCAGCAAGGCCCTGCGATAAATGATAACAAGCTGCTTTACAGTTCAAGCCATGCATCACATCCTGAAGTAAAACTACTTAAAGTTATGTGAGTGTGAAAGCTTCAGCATATATGGGTGCTCTTGTGAGTGGTGATCAGCTTAAGGTGTTCATTCTTCTATGCCGTTTTATCGACACAATAATCAGGCTTTAGAAAAAGACATAAAATAAATTACCTTTTGGTTGCACTTCACAAGAAGCAACATTCTGCATTAGTCTTAATTACTATGTCCACCTAAGCAACAGGTCTCCCTGTATTAGATATGATTGTCATATGTTCCAATATTGTATTAGTCAAGAAGGGTGTGCCTCATGGCTCTGTATTATGTTTATTCATTTAGCTGATGCTTTTATCCAAAGCGACTTACAATTGCTATCTATGTCAAAGGTGGCACGTCTCTGGAGCAACTAGGGGTTAACTGTCTTGCTCAGGGACACACTGGTGGATGTGCCACAGTTGAACCCGGGTCTCTCACACCAAAGGCACGTGTCTTATCCACTGCCCCATCACCAGGCCCACTATTATTCACTATTTATATAAATAATATTGGTCAAAATGTGTCAAATGCTAATTTCTATTTTTAAGATGATGACACTGTATATGGAGGGATTATTGGGTCAGAATTAAAACAAAAAGTCTAAAACTTAAATTCTAAATCAAAAATGCATTTGGTATCTAGGATCGGGCATCTGGGTATTTAAGTTTGGGCATTTGGGATTTAGGATTGAGCAGTGTATGCAAATAACAGGGCGTGGTCAAAATAACGGAGGCTGGGTTTGAAACGGCTGGTGTGCAGTGGCACATTATGATCAGCAGGGGGAGCTCTGAGTGCTAAAGAGCACACTGCAATGAAACCAAATAGAGCGAGTGAGCGGGGCTGGAGGGAGGACTATACTTTATAATGTGATAACTTCAACTTGATGTTTCAGAAAACGATGTTTCAAAAAACAAAAAAATCCTAAATGCTCAAATCCCCAACCCAAATGGCCAAATGCCCAGTTCTAAATACTAAATGCACAATCCTAAATACCAAATGCATTTTTGATTTAGACTTTTAGTTTTAATTCTGACCCAATAATCCCTCCTCAGTTAAATAGTGCTTTGCATCAAATCTTTTACAAGCCATCGAATACTTGTGAAATGCCTTTATTGAAGTCCATAATACCCTTATTCAGCTGAAATGAGTTCTTAATGCAGATAAGACCAAACGTATGTTGTTTACTAAGTCTAGGAATAGGCCACAAAATATCCCTTTGGTGGTCACTCTGGGGGTGAAGTGAAATAGAGGTTAAATCTTTAATTACCTGACTCCGTGACCTTTAAGCCACATGAGCTGTACCTGGTGAAAAACCTGAGGCCAAAACTGGGTTTTTATTATCGAAATTAGTTGTTTTTCTATTAATGTAAAAAAACAACTTCTGGCTGCCACCTTTTTATCTGTCCTGGACCGTGGTGATTTTTTACATACCAAGATCGGAGTTTAAATTTAAAACTGTTTCCAGGCCTTTGTGACAGTTTGACATTTATGTAGCATTAATTTGCAATATTAATATGTTTTCATGTCAATAGTAGGTTATGTTGGAATTGCTTATTATACTTACCCACTTCACAACTTAGCTTGTGAAAATTAGAACAAATTGAGCAAGAGACTTTATGCCAATGCTATGATTCCCTGCTATAGTTTAGTTGTATAATATTGTGTTGTTAATAAGTTTTATTTTTTAAATCACAGCTTCTATCGACTACAGTGTTCACACATGCAGATGGAGCGGCTACTCTACTGCGAGGGGGCGTGGCGTGAGCGGTGCTACAGTCCGCAGCCGGACGTTGTTGGTTGGGGTGGATGGATGAGTCAAGTAAACTCAGGACTTTCTCTCAAGAGACCGAGGTTTGAGGTTTTTATAACAGGCTGTATTTTATTGTTGTTACTGATTTATTACAGCTTCTGCAAACTCGAAGGCCATGTGATGCAGCTGAAAGCTCCAGAGGAAATCAAAAAATAATATATTTCTGTCAAAGGTTAAGAATGAACCTTTAACCTCAACATGACCTCATAAGTTTCCTTACATCAATAAATATTAATCCTTCCTTTACTGTGTATCCAGTTAGTGATGCTTCACAGAGGTGCAACATGAGAAAGCATTTACTGAGCACATTTTACAGTGTCTTTGGTGGAAGAGACTCATTTACTGATCAGCTGACAAACACTGGGGTCTGTGTAATAAACTGATCTCTCCTCAGTTTGTATTCTGCATTATGAGGAGTTTCCCTCCAGAACAACGTGTGAAGCTCTAACCAGCAGCCTGTTGACTGGCTGGTTGTTAAATGTTGTTGTTGAATGGACATCAACATCAGATATAAAGCAACGAACAGTAGATCCAAATAACCTGTAGGATAATGTTGTATGCTCTGTAATTCTATACGAGTTCAGATTGTTAGATTCAACAAAGAAACAGATCTCTCTTATGCACACAGGCAGGCGCACACGCTGTTTCCTCTCCAAACAAAGCCTTTATTCCTAATGGGAATAAAAGCTTTGTTGTTTGACGGAGCTCCTGCACGAGGCGGCAGCACCTGCCTCTCTCACCGCGATCAGGAGCTCCTCTCCGGCCGAACACTAATCCTCTTACCTGGGGATGCAGCTCGGAGAGGACCGGTCGATCTCCCAGGTCGCAAACAGATTCATCGGCACCGGAGCGCGGCCGTCGGGGTCTGCGCCCGCACCGGACCCGGCGTTGGGGTCCGGGTCCGGTGGAAGAGCGCTCCCCCGGACTCCTCCTCGGTCCGCAGCCGCCGCCATCGTCTCCTTTCCGCGGCGACAGGTCGCTGTGATGCCCGCTGGGAGTGAGCGGGGCGGGGCTGAGGGCTGAGGTGAGAAGGAACACCGGAGAGAATCACTGATCCAAAATCAGTCAGTAGTCCTACAGACCGGAACAGACCGGACGGCGGAGCAAGGAGGGAAAACGTGTCTGCTGTTGGACAAAGTGGAGGATGCACTCATCTTACTGACGGACACAGTAGTCTATTGTTCCCCAGAGGAATAATCTCTCCTCTTTTTCTTAACATGCTCATGTAAAGTTTCGAAGAGAATTGATTTTTTAGACTCATTTAGCACTCGGACTAAAAGAGATTAGCCTATCAAAAAACTTATCTCTTTAAGATGATCCAAAAAACTATAAAGTGAAATTGCATTTAAGAAATACTATTCCAATTAATTACACTAACATTAAATATATAAGCTACATGAATAAGATGTTTGGGCCAAGCTACATGCCTTCAGCTATGTGCGACGGTACCTAGAAGAACTGAGGCAGTTTCTGTTCACTCACCTTGGATTTTGTTAATTGATATTTATAATCTATTATATGGGAGAGGATTGGGGCCACATGAATTTTTTTGGAGTTCTGAGAACACATTAGTCAGAATTCTTAGTTTAAAGTCAGAGTTCTGAGATTAAAGTCGGAATTCTGGGAAAAAAGTCAGAATTCTGAGAAACAATGCAAAGTGACTCTCTCACATGGTAAAATCACAGGTACCCATACTTAAGACTTTTTTCTCAGAATTCCGACTTTAACCTCAGAATTCGGGCTTTTAACTAAGAACTCAAAAAAAAAAAAAGTGTCTATTTTTGAAAGTATTTTTCCACACCGACATATTTATCTATCTATCTTTATATAAACAGGCCCATAATCTATGTCTAGTTACAGGTATATACTGTCTGTCACTTACTGACTGTACTCCAGTAAAAACTAGTTTCTGTAAACTCCAGAGAATTTAAAATAAAGTTTATTATTAACATTATTTTTTTATGAACTGTCTCATTTAAATACACAAAAAATTCTTACTTGTAATTGACAAGTAAATCATTCATGACATATTAGGCAGGATATGGACCATGATTCATTATTTTACGTGATTTTTTACAGATACGAAGAAGCTGGGTTAAGAACTCTGCTACTTATATACCAAGAAAGAAAAAAGATTATATATAGTGATATTGTGCCAATTCATAACACTTCAGATGAATAATATTTTTTTGAATTATCTGTCCTCTCTGTCATGAATGGAAAAGCACACTTGTTAAAGCACTTTGTAACTTGTTTTTGAAAAGTGCTCTACAAATAAAGATTATTATTATTATTATAAAGGGGAATAATTTGTTGATGTTCTCTTTATGTTGTTTGTATTGTAACTGATTTCCTTTCAGCCGGGTCTCCGGGTTCAACCGATTAAATGGGTTAGGGTTAGATAAATACTTTTTTTTTACTTTTCTTGTATGCTTCTTAGAATATCATGATAATCTTAAAACTATCTGTTTTTCCTTCAGAACACACGAGATTTTAATGCCTCATGTTTTACAGCCGACCCTCTGGCTTCATCTAGTGGTCACACTGATGTACTGTACTGATGTACAGTCAGCACCCAAATATACTCTGAGATGTTCAAAACCACATCTGGTCCTGGTTCACTAGACCTGATGCAGTTTCTCCTCAGTCCGCTCATTATATTTGTTAACAACATCATTTCTTTTCTGTGAGAACTAATGTTTTTGTGGCTGAAACCTGCTTCACGAAGGTATCGATCAGGCAGTAAAGTGTTCACCTGCTGACAGACAGAGCTGAGACTCAGCTTTAATGCAGAGGCAATGAAAGAAGCTGCTGAACTGAAGGTTCAGTCAGGAGGTAAAGTCCAGTAACCAACACCGCACGAACACAGCAGAACCTCCGATCTGACACCAAATCCACAAATAATTATTACACAAAAACAACATGTGAAAGCAGCAATAAAGAAACACCTGTTCAGTCATGTTATAAAACATTACTGACAGAAGATAAAGTCAGACAACATCCATTGCATTAAAGCCCTCACCAAACAAGTTCCCACAATGCTGATCAACCCTCCCACCGCCAGGTAAACCTCTCTGTACTGGCAGTTTATCGGAGTTTTTATCTGGTGTCTGTGGTGACGTTCGCAAGCTGGTGAAGAGGTAGTGATGTGTTTTATGCCAAGCAGCAGTGACTGGAGCTGAAGGTGGAGAGCAACCCATGGGAGAGCTCCACGATCAGCCACTGCTGTAACAAAAAACAATAAAAAAGGTCCATTAGAGAGAACCAACGGCAGAGCGGGGGGTACTTTTAATTTGTTTTTGCTGATCTTTATTTAGGTTTATTCAACTAAAGTGAGTCAGTAACGGTGAAACTGCAACAAAAGATGTTTTCGGTTGTGCATTTTGTAATTGTGATCCTGTAAATGGTCCTGACCCGTTGCTGCTCACAGGGTCATTATGGAGGGTTGTTCCTCCTGCCTTTGTCTTGTCCTCACTCATGGTTGCTCACACTGTCATCACTCTCCTCCTCCTCCTGCTCCTCCTCCTCCTCTGGTATGGTGGTGAAGTCCTCGATCACGACTCTAGGCAGCACCACTGGCTGCGTGTTGGAAATCTGAACATCGCCCAGAGAGTTCTTCTGCATCTCGGCTCCTCGATCTGCAGGAGGAGAAGCTGGCTGATGTTTTCTGTACTGCACCAGGCTGCAGCTCTTCACGACGATAGCGACCACATTCTTGCCCATCATGATCCCAGACACTCGGATGTCCCCGTAAATCAGCAGGTTTCCCCCTCGAATCAGCAGAGTGATGACGTTGATGGTGGCGAGACTGAGGATGGGGTAGAGCATCATTTTGTGCGGGACGATGTTCACACCCTGCATGCTGATCTCACTTAGGGAGACGCAGGGCAGCACCAGCAGGAGGATGTAGCAGTAGAAGAACATCAGTCCCTCCACCCACAGGGGGAGCCCTTCCCTCTGAAGCTCCCACAGGTTGGCCTGAACGTCCACAACGTCCAGCAGGTCCACCACCACCCAGAAGAGACGACTTCTTATCTCCTCTCTTTTCTTATGCGACCGTAAGTAATCCAAATGATCTATCGCTGCCAGTGTTATGAACACGATGGGCATGCAGACAGACAACAGCAACGTAAGAGCCCTCCGGGACACAGCCGCATCTGTCATCTCCGCATCTACATTCACGTCCTGAGACTTGTAGTTCTGATATACAAAGTAGACCTTGATCTCCAGGATGAAGATGTAGAAGAACCAGAGGATCATGGCGTAGCCTCGCCTGGCCGTGTGCACCTCTGACCCAGCCCAGACGCCAACATATCGCAGCACAATGAGGAAACACGCGTCTCCCGCCAGCACGGTGACGCACACGCCGATCCTCCTAGGACCCGGATTCTGCTCCACCAGGTAGGCATCTATCAGTGCCAGGCTGGTCATGATGAGGACCGCCGTTAGGCAGACGTGGGGCTTGTTAGCAGCAGGTCGCGGGGGAACCATCGCTGGTCGATGAAACAGCAGAGGTGACCGGGGAAGAAGAAACTCTACAAGTTGGTTCAGTTGCAGTTCCTCTAATGATGCTGCTCCAAAAAATAATTTTAGAACTCAACTAATCCTTCATGAACACCACCCACCATGTTTCAAATGTGTTCATTTGAATTAATTTTAAACTGGATGTTATATAGATTGCAACTTCAGTTTTTTTACTTGAGTCTTTTTATTCCTGGTCTGGAATCAGTGTTTCAGAGTTTTGAAGAGTATTCGCTTGACTGACTAGCTGTGGTGGTTGCAGCGTGCTTGTTGAGCCCCTGATTTCAGTGACAGACAAAGATGGCAGAAAGCAGGGGAAGCCAAATCCCACTCTTCTAAACTTCTATGGGCCACATCAGACTCTACTGACTACTTCCATGGTCAGTTTCCACATCGAATGGTCCTTAAACTTGCCCTCCATCGCAGGTTTTGAACTTGAATGAAGATCTAACTGTGGATTGGGTGACTTGGATTTGTCGTTGTATTGTTTCCTGAGGTTTGTAATTGTCGAAATTGTCCAAACAGCAAACTGAATAGAGATTATTACACAACATGTCCTTATTTTCTCATTCCTAGTTCAGCAGATCCACCTCTGGGCTGAAGCTGGTCGAGCTTTGTGTTTTTGACTTCTGAAGACTTCAGCCTTTCTTCTGCTGTTGCTGAAGGAACCTAACTATGAGACAAAACCCCTGCTCTTCCTCTCAGCTGGTGTGCAAGAAAAGTTTGTCTTGTAAAGTTTTTTTTTAGAATAAGCATCAACAAAACTGTGTTGAGAAATCCAGACGATCCTGATGATGAAACAACGGGCTCACAGAGGAAAGAAGGACAGTGAGTGAGCTGATTATCGACTCCACTGCCGAGAAATGAGTCTGTCTGTGGTTCAAGAGAAGTGTCATCGCCTCTTCATGGTGTCGTTCCCTCCACAGCAGTGAACTGCAGCATCAATCCCAAACTCATCTCATCTGAACCAACTCAGAGACTGCATAGTTGTGCTCTCGCTTTACAGCTTCAGGCTGCAATTTCAGAAACTACATCTGCAAGAATTTTACATCCAACTCTCTCGCTCTCTCTCTCACTCTCTCTCCTCCCCTCTGTGCAGGAGAGAGATACAGTGGAAGAAAAAGTGTTTTTCTCAGCCTTAGCAGCATGACTATGTTCCTGTACATACACACAAACACACACTCCTTCATATGTGCGTACCATGTTCCTAATAAAGCTTTGATACTGGTTTCTTCACTAGTACAAACACTACTGTCATTACTATTACTGTTAATGTAATTTTGGTACCATTATTTTTACTATCAGAGTTACTACTGTGCATATTACTCTTCCTGCTACAATTAAAGCCACGTCTACATCTACTTGAGGTTTGATCAGAAACTTGCGTCAGAAGCTCAAGCAAGATTTATTCTCATGGATTTATTATAAAGACGAGCCACCAGTTCCTTAGTAAAAAAAAAAAATCCAATATGTAAAAACAAGTGAAGCAGACACTGTGATGCTAAGCTATCACAAAGAATGAATGGGCGAGTTGCCCTACAGAGAGGTATGTGATCAGAAAACCTCATTACTATTTGTTCTACTGTCACTAATCATGTTTCTGCCACTGGTTCTACTCATTCAGACCATCTACAGCAAATTGTTGTACAGTTACCTTTGGTGGAAAATACTTTATCCTTTGAGATGGTTCAAAGGATTAGGAACAAGACTTATGATTTAGTAATGTTTCCCCTTGAAACACCACTAAAGATTAGATGTTATAAGAGTCACAACACCAAATACTAAGCACATGACGAGAAGGTTGGAAGTATAACACCTACTGTCAGTGTTACTATAACTGCTGCTGTTAGTGCTACTAGTATTATAGCTACTGTTAATAGTACTCACTACTGTTACTGTCTTACTTAAGCACAACTATTACCAGATGAGATTCGCATAGTGACTTTGTTTACAGTACCACTAGCTTTGCACCAGAATAATAGGTCTATAAGAGCTGTAGGTTACCTCAGCATTCTCCAGTAAGCTCCAGCACCTTGAATAAAGAATACAAATATGTGATAATGGTTATTTGAGATACAAAATGTTGAGCATCCTGTCCAGCCATTAAAGAGAATAATCTTCCAATTTATCTAAAAACATGCAAACATGGACTCTCTGTTTTATATACTTTTCTTTTCTTTTGCAAAACAGACACTGTTTATTGCAAGAAGAGAAATAGGCAAATCCTCTGAGACACAGAAGCAGACAGAAACTGTCAACGTCCAGTTTAGACTCATTTAATACTTTATCTGTGTTACAGCAAAGGGACTGAAAGGAGCTGCAGCAGTCTGATCTGATCCTGTGATCACTGGTCGGTACGGACTGTGGTATGTCTTTTTTAGAGCAGCCGTGGTAGTAGTAACAGCAGTGAAGTGCACACTCTGATCTTAATGACCCAACTTTTATCTAGGCTAAGCTTTTTATGGGATGAGCACATTAAATAGTTATGAGAGGGTGCTCTGGAAATGCATGCATGATGAATCAAATTAGCCCAATTACTGGGTGCTGCTGACTTCCTCTTTGTGTGTTCAAGGAGACATCAGATGTTCTTTCAAGCTGCAGCCATTTGTGAGATTTTGCTGCTTGTTCGCTGCTCTCCTGTCCTACTTGGCTGCTGCTGATGCTTGGGGAGGGCCAGCTGTGACATGAGGGGGATCCTGGCTCCAGATCTGAGCTACAGATTTGTGCTTTAATTGGTCAAGACTGAGCTCTATAAAACCAACTGGTGGCTAACACAAGCTGTATGCACACTGTTTTGCAGAAGGTGTTGGTAGTTCATCATTGCTTTAGCTTTACTAGTCCTGACAGTGGCGCTACAGGAAACATAGGTTGACTAAAATAAAAAAAAAAGGTTAATCTTCTAGGGAGCAGGAATGTGATCAGTACATTTCAGGGAACTCTGGTTAGCAGAGATTCCTCTGTAAGTCACTTAACCCTACCTCTCCTCTTGAACTCCCAGTAACAGCGACCAGTCAGACCATTTCTACAGAGAGGCTGCCAGCAGACATCAAACCTCTCTGGATGATCAGGATATGGCTGCTCCTCTGTCACTGCTGTCGCTGGATTTCTATTTTTCAGTATCTTCATCATCATGGACCACGCCTAAACTTAGGCTCTTATGGATATGTCATACATACATGAGGGTGATTCATCACTAGATCACTTTAATAATGATACCAGCATACATGCTATTCTTGTCATTATGGAAGTGTGGCAGTGTCATAAACTTCACTCACTTTAATGAACTTTCTTAGTTAACAGTTGGATCGACTAGTTGGGGGAGACAATGTGAAAAAGATTAGACTGTGATGCTTAGTGGAGTGCGTTCTGATGAACTGATTACCACGGGTCCACGAGAGACAGCAACAAATGCCGTGATCAAATACTGTCATCCATTCATTCATACTGTGTAGGCCTATGACGAGTTGCTGTGGAGTTACACTGTGTAAGCTGCTTTGTGTTGATATGTTACTATAGGCTGGCTAAAGCTAGTTTGGCTGTTTGATAGTCCGAGATGGCAGCTGTGGTGGTTTGAGTGCAAGGCTGTCAGATTTGCTTTGATAGACTTGGCACTTTGGCTGCTGTCTGTGGTGCTGATCAAGGCTGCAGGTTTGCAATTGCATGGCGTTGTTGTGTGTCTGTATGCCCGTGTGGACATCAGCATTCTTGTTGGGGTGGTGGTGGGGTGCACGAGAAAAATATTTGCACCGAGGCGAATCACAATTATGTTACGCTGCTGTCTTATAGATAAATGTGTGATGAAATCTCCAAATCATCACGGAGGACAATGTCTGTTGGAGTTTTGGTCTAAAAAATGCACAAATTTAATTCTGATCATTCTGCAGACTATGAAAGAAGTAGAAGCAGCCACTGTGACATCACCCATGGGTTTGCGGACTACTGTTTTAAAGCCTTGAGTTTGGCATTTTCGCTGTCGCCACCTTGGTTTTTATGGAACCAGAAGTGACTGGACGAGAGGGTGGAGCTGGGGGACGGATAGGTTGCCGTGATAGCTAATTGTCAATCACAAGGTAGCCTCCGCCCTAAAACATACCTTATTGTCCTCTAAATGGGACCATAATTTACTTTACAGAAACAAGCGACTGAGACCATAAACTCTTAGGAAAGTGTTTACCGGGGTAATAAATAAGCTGGGAAGTAGCCTCATTTTGTTATAGACATCTATACAATACAATTCACTTTCCAGACCTGGTGGTTCCTGCTTGTTCTGCAGTCAGTCAGTCCACCAACTAAAATACTCTCACACAAAACAAACATCCAGATGCATTTGCTTTATAAACACTGCATCTTCAGTCTGTTTTAGGTGTTTCACTGACCCTCAGCCTTTTTCCTTTATGTGATCATATTTGTCTCCTGAGGATTTTCCTGGTTTTCACTTTATAGCTGGTGTTTGGGCTTGAATCTGTGTTAAACTGGTTTGCCTCTTGCTTGTTGCAGTAAACAATAAAAGCATCATTAAAGTAGAGAAAAATTGTTTAGATGCATAGTTTACCATAAAGTGATTTAGAGAATTAAGTCATTATTGCATTCAAAATGTCAAAATAAATATTCAAGCAGCAAAACAATTATTCCCTGACTGACCTGGTGAATTAACCATTAGCATGCTATTTATATGGGTAAAGATTAGCAGCTGTTGGGAGAAAATGTGGCTCATTAAGGCTGCAGGGCGAGAGTCTCACAGCTGCCTCAAGCACATTTTTCCTGATGCAAGAAGTCTGCATTCCTACACATAACTTCAAAGCCAGCAAGAGGCAATGGGATGGCTATTAGCATAGATTAGCATATACCTACCAATGCACTCCACTTTCCAGCAGCTGTTTGTTTAAACACTCCACACTGTGATGGGAGGTGTCTCAGGAGAAGGCTTTTCCATCAGATCCCTCATGAAGCATGCCTACTTTTTTAATTATTAACTAGTGTTGCAAGTATATTTAACATTTATATCTCTGCTGCTGCCGTTTCTTTTAAACAATAATAATAATAAACATTCAAAATTAATCTTAGCCTCTTTTAGGTTGTAATTTTGGTTTTGGCACATTTCCTGTATTGCTGTGTCTCATTGAAGAGCTGAGGAAATACAGAGGGCTGATTATTATTATCACTAATCACTGTCTCCTCTCTTTCTGATT